AAGTAACGGTTAATGACGTCACCGTAAAACAATTTAATGACGTCTTTTTACGGGAAACAAAATAAGACGTTACGTTTGGCGGAAATAGTGAAGCTATCTTTAATTGAAAGAGTCAAACAATGTCTTTAATAGTAAATACTATCGGAAAAATCAAACTATGAAAATTATGTGATTATAATTAATAAATTTACAACTAAGAACTATAATTCTTACAATGACGTTTCAAGTGGATACCTTTAAGAGTTTTAAAGATTTATGTTGCATCAAGACAAGAGCGATCAGTAATCACATGTGTCTCCTCATGATGGCCAATTTCATGTTGGGACAAATTTTGTGACAGACGGACAGACAGTGCACAACTAGACTTGGTACTGATCATTCCTGTAAAGTTTGGATAAAATTGCACCAGTAGTTTATGAGGAGTAGTCCGGACAAGCTTTTGCGTATCTGGCAACACACAGAAAAAAACACCTTTTTATCAAAGGGCCATAACTCGGCCAAAAATCATTCAACCGGAAAACCCGTGCAATATGCGCAAGGACTTGAGCTACAGATCAATCCTGTAAAGTTTCATTGAAATTGCATAAGTGGTATAAGAGAAGTAGTCCGGACAAACTTTAAAATTAAAAATTATTAAAGGGCCATAACTCTGACAAAAATCATTGAACCGGAAAATGCTGACAATATGCACAACAAGACTTGGTACTGATCATTCCTGTAAAGTTTGGATGAAATTGCACCAGTAGTTTATGAGGAGTAGTCCAGACAAGTTTTGTGACGGACAGACAGACGACGGAGAAGTGATCCCTATATGTCGCCACTACTCCGTAGAGGCGACACAAAAAAGGGCAATAATTGTCTCAAAAACTATGCCAGGGTCATGGACCTAGGATAGTGACCTCCAATTATGATGCTGAAAACTTGCATTAAGTTTCAAGTGAATACCTTCAGCAGTTTTAAAGATTAATATTTCATCAAGAATTGTAAGTTAAAAGGGCCAAACTTCTTTCAAAATCAATTCTAGAGTTAAGGGCCTTGGATAGTGACCTCCTATTAAGCTCTCAAATATCTATGCGAGATATGATATTGTATGCAAAACTTTAACCAAAGTATTACACCAACACAAATATTGACATCAGGTTGAGTATTCTAGCTAAAAGTCGAGCTACAAACACATTTATTGATGTGCAATTCTTTAAATTTATTCACCAATCTTTTATACAAAAAAACTCAATGCACTGACACTGATGAGGCAAAATCTTTCCTGAAACAAATGTATGACTAAGTTGATGAACTTTTGATGGCCACCTATAAATACACAATCCAGTCAGACTTGGTTGATGAATAAGTGGAAAATAATCATGACAGCTAGTTCAAGCATGTATTTTTGCATACCAGGGATATTTCTATAGCTCAGGCCATTAAAAGTTCTGCTTCAACCGTGGAAAATCCTACAAAACACATGCAGTTTACCCAGGGCTACAATTCAATAAACATCAAGTTTTTCTCCCCCTTTTGCAAAAATACCATTTTATCTGTCCCTGGCTGTGAAAAAAACCAGACAAACTAACAGATTCAAACACTTACTATGTCAGGGTTCTCACTAGGACTTTAAAACATGGAGTCCATGGACTCCCAACCCTGAAAATGTTGGAGTCCAAAAGCGCGTCGCAATTAATATGTTTATAGATTAGTCATTCAATGCTCACAATAGCATTGCTGATATTTTGAATCTTCAAGAGACTTTCAAAGTTTATTAGTTATTCAAAAAAAACTCTGAATTATTGTTTTGTTGTTAATATTTATTATGAAATTATTTCGTTATAATGCATCAACACAATTCATGGAAATCGTTGTTTTTTTTGTGTGTGTTTTTTTTAACCTTTATACCAAATCAAATTATATTCTGGTTAAAAAAGTCCACTCTAAAGACAAAAAGTTTATATTTGTAAAAAAAAAACGTAAATGTATATAGGCAGCGTTTAGCGGAATGAATAGGAAAATCGTGTACAGCTTCACACAGTGTGTAAGAGATTCATCCGATCGGCAATTATTTTAGCAAATATCTTTAAAAGGGGGCAAATTGAAGATCGATATTTAAAGATTTAATGTTGATTAAATAATAAAAGAACAATTCATTCACGTGTTTGGATTGGAAATTGAGAATTTTTGCGAAATTTTCGGGTTTCTGGCAAACGTGAAATCGCCGATGTTCGGGATCAATTTTCGGATCAAAGAAAAGCATATGTGTATTTTTGTTTGTTGTCTTGGCATTTCGGCACAATATCTTAAATTCTTAATACTCTTGTAGAACGTTTTTGCAAGAATGAAACTAAAGCAAAATTGTGCCTAGAAAATGCCGAAAATATTCGACAATCATTCAAAATTACACTCATTTGTAATTTGAGAAAACAGTCTTTAAACTTGCGGCGTAAATAGTCGATAATTTTATCCTTTTGTTGGTGAAATTTGCTAATTTCCAATCAACTGTTGATCAAAGATATAAAATTATCACCTTGTGTTATATCTGGTAATTACATGTACAGCGCGTGTATACATTAGTCTGATCACTATTGCGTGATGATGACCGGAAGCGTTATCGCTGATTGGCTAAACGCTTCATGGGTCGATGTGCATAGGACCGTCTACCTATAGACTGACACGCGCTGACGTATTTGTGTATTTGTGGTTGTAAACAATCGGTAATTTTATGCGTCCCCAGGCAAAATTAAGCGTACGTGGAATCCTTGCTCTGAAATATTTGCGTCCAGCTGTAATAAACATGCGTACCCGGACGCCGAAATAAGCGTCCCCAAGAACCCTGCTATGTTGTATAATTTAGGAAAATATCTTAAATACAGGATTATCAAATTGTCAAGTAAAAGTATTTTTGCACTGCACTCGGCTTATTTTATAGCAGATATTCGGTCATATTCCCAACTGAAAATAATATTATTTTCCCAATTAACAGGAAAAAATTCCCAATTGAAAGTTACAAATTAAAAATATTGATGAACAAATTCTAAAATCTTTGAAATTAAAGGGCTTCTTCACGGTTATAGTGCTTAAATGTTTGAAAATGCCATCCTAGACAATGACTCTTTGCATTCATTTAATCACTGCAAAAGTTGTCATGCATTTTCTCCCAATTGTTAACAAAACAGTTAAACATCGCTGAAATTCCTAAAATCCTGGCACTGCAGTTAGTACAGTGTATTTTATACATCTTGTATGGCTTACTTCTAATTATTTATTTTATATTTTGCATTTACATGCATTTTGCTTTTCCTTGAGTCATGACTAAGACCTATATGTAAACACTGTTGTTTAAAAATAATTGGAGGTCTTCTTTTATATTGTAGGACATGTAGGCTGAAGACAATGCTGTAGGCATAGTCAACCAATAATCACACCAAGAAACTGGCACACTTGTATTTCTTCAGGTAGCATGCCACGGAGTAAAGTGACACATATGCTGACTAATAAGGCAAGTATCAACATATAAAAAAATTAATTTCAAACATAAACTACCTAGTAATTGCATGTAAAAAAATTCTTCAGCACAAAGTAATTTCAAACATAAACTACCTAGTAATTGCATGTAAAAAAATTCTTCAGCACAAAGTAATTTCAAACATAAACTACCTAGTAATTGCATGTAAAAAAATTCCTCAGCACTTCGCGACCGTCTTGCCAAAATGTTTGAATACACCAATAAACACTTTCAGAACTAGCAGACGACAGGCTATTCTTATCAGTAGTATTTCGAGTAAAGATAACGGTTGAGTATCTCACTGTATAAATCGTATGTAAAATGGTCTGACATATGGTAGGTTTAACAGTTAATTTAAATACTTTGGAGTCAAAAGATATGTTGAAGTTTATACTGTGATGAAGCTGTGATGTAATAAATTTTAAAATCGGACATTTAATCACAACAAACTAGCGGTTTAAAAACAGCCTATTTTGTATTGTCTTAGCATAAGCGGTATCGATTTTACTCGAAGATAAGGGAAGCAACTCGTATTTTTCACTTAATATACCTCGGTTATTTACGTAGATCATATTGAAAGTGTTTATGGGTCTATTAATGCGATTATGAGATTGACCATTACAGGTAAATCTGCACATACATGTGCTTTTGACTGTTGAGAAATTACATTTTAATTCCAACAGCTATAGTGGTAGGACCAATGTTGGCAAAGAAGTAACAAATGTTTTGAAGAAACAATTAATCATAATGTATTTTATAAAAGTAAATGCTTCTGTTTATGAGTATTCTATGATCTATGTTCTACCCCTGTTTCCTTGAGCAAGAAACTAAACTCATTTCTCAGTACAGTACTGGTTGGTTCCAGGAAAGGAATTGAGAGTGAGTCTATTACTTATAAGCTTCCTACATAACTGAAATAAATTCTGTATAAACCAAATATTAAACCACTAGAGAAGGTCAAGAACAAGCATGACATTATATATATGTACAGTGTTTTGCAAGATAACCAAAAAGAGTAAAATAAACTGTTTTCTGGACATGGCAAACCATTCATAGCATTCTCCTTGGAACAGACAGGGACCCTATGTTTATCACTATCTATATTTTATACAATATATATACATATATAACAAAACAAAAAGGAGCTACAATATATACTTCTGTTCTAAAAGGGCAAAACCCTGGTCATCTGTAACAAGCCACTTTTTTTATTCCAAAACAATGCAAACAAAAAAACATTTTTTATTGAAATAGAAAAGACATAAGATCTATAAAGATATTGAACATTATCAAAAGATAGAGGGCCACACCGATAATACACTAAGTATTCAATATAACTCGTCAACAAATGACAAAAATACTTCTAAATAAAAAAAAATTCCAAAGCGTCTTGGAAGGTCGATTCTGACGAAATTTAAGCCCCGCAACACACTTTGCACCATGGGTTATAATATATATTACAAAGGAAATAAGTATAAAAATACTAATATCAAGTTTTATTCATTACCAGTTCAACTTGTTTTCCAGTTTTTAGATGTTTTCTAGTTTTTAAAAAATCGATGAAGATGGCTTCCTCTTTGTCGGCGTGGGTGATGGGAAAGAAAATAAAACTACACAAAAGTAAAATAAACAACAAAAAGACTCGGTATAAAGAATCGGAGCATTAAAAAGAGTCTATTCTAAGATTCTAAATGGTGTCCACTGAAAACATTTGTAATAATTCAAGTAAATAATAAATGATTCCTGTGGGTAAATTTACACTAAAAAGATGAAAAAACCAAGGCATAGCATTTATTTATTGTAATTACAGTAGACATCATATTATGAATCACTTATATTTAAATTAAAACTGCCGACACTTAATTTGATACTATTTAATGAGGACTATGACCAAAGATTTTCATAACATCATATACATTTGTACAAACAAACACAAGTATACCTACATGCCTTGTTACTTTAAAAATAAATTTATCGTTAAGATTTTAAAAGTTAACAAATATCCATCAGGTAAGAACAACCAGGCCCGTGTTCCAGTGCACATAGAATTTTGAAAAACCCTGAGTGCACGAAAACTATGGAGCTCATTATCTGAACACGTAACTGGAAACAGATTTTAAAAATATTTTAAATGCATGAAACGGAGAGAAATGCACTTGTTGCTTTTGTTACTAAAATTGTATGTCTACTAGCTAGGCACATTATGCCTCAGAACAATTTTTTTTCTACTTTAGAAAAGACAAATATCAGATTATAAAATTTGAATACTAATTTTGGAGCATGTTACATGCCGTTCACATGAAGAGAGTAGCGTTGAATGTGAAATTATTTGTCATACATTTAGCAAAATGGAAACAAAGATGTATTTTTACTTCCATACAAAACACCAAATCATTGTTTACTGTACTAATGGCCCAAAAAAAATCAACAGTAGCAATAAAAGATATAAAGACAGAAAAGATACAGCTAATTAGCCAGTGAGTAACAATGTATGGAAAATATAAGAGGACACCAAATGGAAAATGAAAAAAGCATTTCTGGGGGATAAAAGACTTTTATAGGTTTAAAGAAATTTCGTTTGCTTTCACATAGCTTGTTTGTTTGTTTGTTACTTTTATGCTTTTTATGCTGATCTTATAGGCTAAAATTTAATTCATCAAAGCTAAATTTAATTTTTAATTTATCTTTTTATGCCACGACACAGAGCTATATTTCAATTTTGTTAATATGTCTCTGGCTAAGAATAGTGTGATTTGTGCTTTATATATGACATCGTATTATATTATATAATTATGCTTACTGCTACCTAGCTATATAACTAAAATTCTGTCTCATTTATTCATGTTGCACAAATACATTTTTATACTAAAATCTTAAGAAACATGTTAAAAATATTTAGGGCTTTTTCAAAACCTCTTCTTATTTGTTTTATTTCTTAAGGTTACAGTTAGATTTTTATAACATAACTTTGATAACCTCTAAACTTTACATTCTACTGTACATCTTCTTTTCGTGTACATCCCCAGTCTTATTTGATTTTCAAGTGGGGTTTTTCGCCTGGGCTCCTTGCCACTGGTTCTTGTTGCTGGGTCAAATGGGGGTTGCGTTCATTGAACGCCGCCTTTCCTTGTTGATCTTGTTTATCATATTTTGTATAGTTTTAAATACTTTTTAGTCAGAAGCGTTAGCTTTTTTAAAAGTAATATAAACTTAATTACTGTGGTATAATCAATTTGAAGATACTAGTAATCAAATCATGACTTCGAAATCCTCCACTTATAAGTTATTAAATCAAGGTGCTATTTATTCTATTTATGATATTTATCTGATGTATATCTTGATTTTTCATACGTAATGTGCTGATGTTTCAATTGTATTTTTATTATGTCGGTCAAAAGATACACATAGCTTATATTTTAAAATTGTAATATATTCAATGCGGCAATTTAGTATTCACACGACTTGATTTGAATTCATTAATGTTTAATGAAAAGCGATATGTTGAGAGCACTATGCAGTTTATGTTACATATCCCTTAGATAATTGTTTGAATATAGCAAACATATCCTTACTTAACAATCCCACAGTATTATATCTGTTTTATATAAATACAAAATTCATATTAAAAAAAGTTCTATAAAGTGAATGATATCAAATATATATTTATGTAATGTTATCTTTCTGATTATGTAATAAGAGTTATTTTTGATGAGGCAATGTCATTATGCAAAGACGTTTGGAGAAAGATTCAAATCTATCTAGAAAGACTACTTGTGGAGAAAAACAACGCAATTTTGAAATAACCGTTTATCTGCATATCCGAGTCTGCAATTCTTATGTAATTTTGTTGTGATTAATGCTTCCGAGGGATCACTTTGTTTCCAGAATTTTGTACTTCACAAAAGCAGGTATCATGTGCCGTGTGGCAGCCGTAAAAAGTTGCCCCGTACTTCACTTCAGTGTTGTTATATTTTCTGGTCCTTCGGGATCATTGATACCAGCACTATTAAGTGTTGAGAATTGAGTACCGCTCAAGCCGGTGCTAGGGGGCGTGAGGGATGTTGCACTTAATCATTATCTCTCATGTACAGACTCAATCAAACCGAGTCTACAATTCTTATGTAATTTTGTTGTGATTAATGCTTCCGAGGGATCACTTTGTTTCCAGAATTTTGTACTTCACAACAGCAGGTGTCAAGTGCCGTGTGGCAGCTGTAAAAAGTTGCCCCGTACTTCACTTCAGTGTTGTTATATTTTCTGGTCCTTCGGGATCATTGATGCCAGCACTATTAAGTGTTGAGAATTGAGTACCGCTCAAGCCGGTGCTAGGGGGCGTGAGGGATGTTGCACTTAATCATTATCTCTCATGTACAGACTCAATCAAACCGAGTCTGCAATTCTTATGTAATTTTGTTGTGATTAATGCTTCCGAGGGATCACTTTGTTTCCAGAATTTTGTACTTCACAACAGCAGGTGTCAAGTGCCGTGTGGCAGCTGTAAAAAGTTGCCCCGTACTTCACTTCAGTGTTGTTATATTTTCTGGTCCTTCGGGATCATTGATACCAGCACTATTAAGTGTTGAGAAGTGAGTACCGCTCAAACCGGTGCTAGGGGGCGTGAGGGATGTTGCACTTAATCATTATCTCTCATGTACAGACTCAGTCAAACCGAGTCTGCAATTCTTATGTAATTTTGTTGTGATTAATGCTTCCGAGAGATCTCTATGTTTCAAGAATTTTGTAACGACTTTTTGCATAAACATACATGTGAACGAATTCTGTGTTTTTAGTCCGATTTGGACCCGAGTCTATAGTTCTTTATTCTACTATCCTGGCATTTCTGGATGATGAGCTGACTACTAGAAATTAAAACAAAATATATGTTTAAAACTGAAATATTATCACCTTTTTACGTACAGTATTTAAAACTTCTGTCATAGTACAGACCTCAGACAAAGCCTTTGATCACTGTACGCACACATTAGACTTCAACGAGGAAAAGAACAGAAGAACACTAATATACTGATGAAATTTTACTGTAAAAAGATTCATACACAATAATGCTATTGAAACAGTTATTCTGGAATTGGTTCTTCAACAGATTTACGCTGACGGCAGATTTGGATTTACAGGGTATTGGACACCTTTTCCTCGTATAATGCCTTTGAAATCTGAAAACAGAAATAATGTACAAGTAAGTAAAGGTGTTCATACTTACATTTCTAGCTATCTCATTCGATATTCAATCATTTAAATATATATGGCTATTGTACTACATAAGGATCGGTTACTTACATTTGAATTCGGCCATATTGGTCCACAAGAAGTACATTGTAACTGTATATTATTTCTTATATAAAACTAATCACTCAAATGACAGAATGTGTCCCGTATGCATTATTTTTTCATTTGCAGATATATAAAGTTCGATATTTCTTAGCTGATTACTAGTACTATCTTACCCATACTACTCGGGGTTATTTCGTCGTAAAGAGTATAACGACGATCTGGCGCATGAAGACGAAGTTTTATTGGCTTTCGTATCGGTTTCTCTATCCTCTTGTCCTTTTTAGGAAACTCCCAGAATCCATCACGTGTCCGCATTAATGGTACATAAATCTTCTTCTTATGCTGGTACATAAACAGCGTAGTGGTAGGGACCCTAAACAATTATAGACGGACATGTACGCATAAGTATTTGATATGAAACAAGGACAATACATTTTCGTGAATTCGTATGTTAAACAAATGATCGGTCAATATTGTTGAAATTTGTGATCATTAACTTATCAGTAAGATACGGTCCATGTATTTCTTAAATCCTATCCGAACATTATATTAAGAGCCTACCTATCATTTCTGACTTGTAGTTTTATGTAATAATCGTTGCTGCCTTGCAGTGTATACTCAATGTGTCCAGAAACAGGGCATTGTATAGCCTGTATACTAATATCCCAGCGCCCATCAGCCTTTTTAGCAAAGTCAACGTCTCCTGAAGGAGGAAAAACAAAATTATCATATTATAGAAGAATATTAATTGTCGAGCGCTTTATTTACATCATTGGAGAATAAAAAAATTAGTTGTGAAATACCTGAAACTCATATGAATATAATTGTATGGTATCACAGGAGCAACGATGATTTCTGATAAAGACAGCTTTAACATATATTTAGATATCTGTTGCTATTGGTAGAAAACGCTGGTGGGTACCTCTTTCGCATCTGAACGGACGTGCACTTAATATGCGACCTTCCAATCTCAGACGGTACAGTAATTTATCTGACTTTTCAAGCCTGACATATGGGCATGTTTAACCGATAAATGTCGGTAAAAGACTTTGAAATACGCAAATAGACATATAACTCAATACAGTCAACAATTCACCTTGCTATCTGCTAAAAAGAGTAGTGTATAATAAAATATACCAGCTTTGCATTCGGGACAAAGATCTTTGACATAAACAGTGAAACTCCCTTGTATAGGATCAAGTCCAAGTCCTTGTCCAGTTCCGTTGACCTGTGGATAAAATCACAAACATCATTATCTACTGGTTTTATCATTATCGTTATTGTTGTTGTCATTATTATAATAAAGCTGTTACAGGACTTTCACAAAGCAATTTTTTCTAATGAAACACGATTCGACGCTTTATATTTTGCAACGAAGATTGTTCCATTATCTCGGAGCAACATGGTCAATGATCCTGTTACCAGATATTTACAACATTTCACAAGTTTTTCACACTCTTAAAGTCGGTGAAATGCTAATCTTCAAGTCAGCTATTTTTCGGTAAATATCAAATTCTTTATTTATAAAAGATATAGTTAAATGTTGTCATTTACCTGTTCAGAAGACTATTTTACATTTAATCTCTTCTATACATGTAATAAAGTAATCAATGAACAACTTAATGTTCAATTTTAACGTTTTATAATATTTAACTCGCAAACTTCTTATGGCAATATTTTGAGTGGTCAATGTTTTTGTATACTGAATGTTCATATTATTGCTGAAGAACAACAGTAAATATTATTCAACATTATTTTTTAAATATCTACATACACGGAGACATATACCACATGCTGATGATCCGAACATTTGAGGCTTGTTCAAAGCAACAAGTGCATCCACTGCATAAGCCACACTAGGTAAACTTGGGACATTTAGTTGACAAAGGCCACCTGCCTTGTTGCCATAATATGTTCCCTGTAAAATAAAAATGCACATTAACAAAATTAAAATGCACGCGCAAGCAAGCAATGCATTTTCTCCCTCAGCACAAACAAAGAACTAAATATATTCAAACGCAGATTGCGAATGCGCAAGGAAACAAAAAAATCAGCCCATGTAAGTAGCAACAGGTATGGAAGCATTAATGAATCTTCTTCTAAACGTTGGGTAATAAATTGGTGAAATAAACATCTAGCAAGCAGTTTGATTAAAAACAGGACAAAGTCTCGTTTTGTAAAACAAAACAAACTCCTTTCGCCTATTTGTAACTTTTAACTACTCGACATATTTATCACGTCTATAAAAAAGAAAGAAATGATATAATCTAATACATGAAGTATTTTCCTATTAAATGGAATATAAATATACTTTAAGGTCAGTTTTGAATATGAAGGCATGTCAAAATATTCACTAATTACCGTTAGTTACAATTATGTGTGATGAAAATTATGTTGGCTGATGCGAACCTCTTCATTAATATAAATGTATGCAATAAATCAAGCACATGTCTCATTAATAAAAGTACATAATGTCATTCTGTCATTTTGCTGTGTTATGTTTCGTCTTTAATAATGGACTTTTTGCATACAAAGGCATTTTGTAAACTCTATATGAGATTTATAAAACCAAAAACATTAATATTTCGGATACAAAAATATTCTGGTTTTGTTTGTTGTCGTACAATGCATGCATTTTTCTTACTCTTGAAACTTTCTTCCATTTAATCAAAGGCAGCTTGTAACAAACTGCACCAATTAAAACACCAATCTCTTTTAAATAACAATACATGTATTAAGAGTTCGATCACCCGCGGCATTTTTTAGTAACAGTCTACGTGAATTCAGTTAAAGTTATTGTGTTTTTTTTCCCATTTGAATGTGATACTGGTTGCCAATTTAGTTTAAACGTTTAAAATTAAAACAAATTGACAAACGGACACACCGAAAAAAATCACAAAACACACAAAGAAATAAATATAGTCTAACCACATTTATCTCAAGTTGTGACTATACTAAAATAATATTCACAAATATACATGTTACAAATGGAAAGAAGAGAATGTGTGCACTAAAATGTAATCCACAAAAGTATATGTAACAAATGGAAAGAAGAGTGTGTCAATACTAAAACAAATCCACAAAAATGCATGTTACAAATGAAAAGAACAGTGTGTCTATACTGAAAAATTATCTACAAAAATAAATGTTACAAATGGAAAGAAGAGATCACTTACATCTCCAAAAGAAACACTTCTATACAAGTTGTAAATTTTATCGTCATTAATTGCATCCATGACCGGTAATAATAAAAACAAAAGAAAGGAAAACATTTTGTGATAGCAGGCAGTCTTCCACTGCCCTAACAATTCTTTTTTAGAAAAAGATTCACAATCCATATGAAAATCTCCAAATATTATAAAGTACACTGTGGTCACACGTTAACGTAGTTTATAACTTATTGTTCTTTCTTCAAAATACGAGTTCATTATACACAATGCAAAGTATACATCTGTCAAAAGATGAAACATGTAATTATAATTGTATTAATTTTGGACTTCAACCTTAGAATACGCTCCCTTCGCAGCTTACTGAATGCACTCACGCTACTTCAGAGTGAGCGTTAGTGAAACATTCGACCGATGCGCAGGAGAGTAACCTTAGAATTGAAGGGTGGGGTTGATTACTTTCGCCTTTTCCTAACGTTGACTATGCATTGTTACCTTCAATCTTTTATAAATCATACCGTTTTTTTTCCAAATTTAGATAAAATGTGTCTCATAAATCATAAAAAAAACATATGTAAGGAAAGAACTGGCTTTGCAACCCAATGACTAGCAATGATAATACTGTAAATCGCAGAGTATGCTATTTCTGCTGGAAATGTTTCAACAATTTCTGACCAGTTGATGTTAATCATGGTAACCATGAATTAAGTATGCTTCTAACCTATTCAAAATAACATTTTTATTTTTCTAGCAGCTATATGAGCATGTAATACATGTATGTTAATTTAATGAATTTAACAATACGTTTGTACACAAAAATATATCTATTATTTTAAATGTCTCTTGTGTATGTTGTAAAGTTATTGAATACCTAATTAAATGAAATATTATGAAACAATTCCAGCACTTTATTTTACCTCCAACATGGAATAAGGTAAAAAAAGTAATGAGAAACACGACTATTAGGACTTGTTGGGGATCTAACAGAGAGCTAATGTCAACAAACATTTTAATACTCTTCTAAATCTCAAAAGCATTTGAAAATGTTAATCAAAGTTACAGTACAAGTATTAAGCATTAAAGACTGCGCAGGTTACTTTGGGTTAAACAATCCCCCATATGTCTGCATAAGTCTGTCTTAGTCAATAATGACAAGTCAGACGAAGTATTCGATACATCAGGTGTCCTTCAGGATTCAAGTCTCGTCCCATTCTCTTCTTGGTTTATATCAATTACATGCTGGTTTGTATAAATCATCTGTTTGAGTTTCACCCACCCTTTTATTTGCCATTTGAACAAAATTACATACTGCATGGTCAAACACTAGCAATAGTAAATCATGCAAAATACTCCGGTGTTAACATCACTTCTGGTCTTAACTGGAATAATCACATAAACCATGTAGTAAAATATGAAAACAAAGATCAACAAGGGAGGGCGGTATTTATTTAAACGCATCAGCAAGTAGTTCAAAATAGGAATTTATAGAAACCGACAAGGCTATTGAGAAATACAAATAATTAAGAGGCCAACTAAAGATAAAGGTGTAGGAAAAGGGACCAGAGAGTCTGAAAAAGGGGACACAAAACTATGAGAAGGGGATGATACTTACTGTAGACGACAAAAACAAGAAGGGACACAGAAAGTGTCACCACAATTAGCATGTAGCGATAAACAAAATAGAGGAGAACGTAATCCCTAAAGAACGCCCAAAACGACAAAATCGAAAATGTTGCAGGCTCGGTAGAGTGACGTCTCCTCGGAACGGTCAGCAGCATAAGCACTCCTGGGAAGTTTCAAAAGGTTAACGATGCAGCAAACATGACTATTAGCGCCAACATGTTCTGCAAACGAAACAGTGAAAATAATATTAATCCCCGCCGAGCAAAATTTTCACAGTTGTTTTTGTTACACAAGGTGAGATAAGTAAAATACACATGTATAAAAAGTAAACCAAATGACAATAACAAAAGTACTAAAGGAAGACAGAGCAGCAATAACATCACATAAAAAGGCCCGACGAAGCAAGGTAGAAGACGAATATTAAGAAAATTCAATCCCAATGGGTTTTAAGAAGTATCCCACTTGGTTCGTCAGATGTAATCAAAGGAGGAATGCGTCATGCCCAACTGTAAAAAGGCTGAACAAGCAAGTAGAACTAAGCATTAGTAGGGCCATTACCTCTTTCAACATGTTTCAATAATACGTTTAATAATTCTAGATAAAGACAGGAGAAAAATTACCATGACCCAATATCTTACGAAGTTTGTAGATCATAATCCCAAAAGAAATCAGGGTTGAAGGTTTCATCATAACCCAGTATGAACACATCTGCGGATGTTTTGAAATTCAAGATTTCACCATTTTAATTTTTAAATCTTGAATTCTGCTTAAGCCGATGCAAGGGGACATGGACGGTAGTTTCCACTTGACACTGCCGTCCAGGAACAGGCTCAATCAAATCGAGTCTGCAACATTTTCAATTTTGCTGTTTTTTTTCTATTTTGGCAACCACTTTTGAATGTTGAATCAGGGTCTTTCAGATAGATCTATTTGAAGTGCTGATGCCAGTCTTCTGATTTTTTTCAAGACTGTTTACGAGCTGCATCTTGAAGTACCAATTCTTTTATCCATCCCCCACATAAGTTTTAAGTCGTCTTTGGAATTCCCTTCACGTAAACACCTTCGCTGTGGCACCAATTTGATTCGCTACCAATCAAGTGACTGTTATGAGTGCAGAAGGAATGACAGACTATTCTCTCCCTTACCAGTTCCTCTACCTGGCCGTTCTCCCCCAAACCGTTTCCTCCCCTGACGGTTCTCTCCCAAATTTGAAATATGCAGACAGTTCTCTCCCCAATTTTTTTTTGGTTATATTTTTGTCTTACTCTCATAATATTTCTTAAGGAAGATTATTAAAAAAATGTGTTTGATATTTAGTTCATTTTATGTTTTATGTTTATCTGAAAAGTGTTTGTAAATTTAACACCTATTTCAGGTATTTTAATCCTATCAACACCTTCATTGTGAGAGGTTAAGATTATTGGACAGTGATTGATATACAACTGTAATTATATATGTTAAGGTTTAGTGATATTCATTCATTTATTAAATAGCGAATAAGGTGATAACGAGTATTTTCTAGAAAATAAATAAGTAACAACTGGTATGCAGTCACATTTCACGTTTACTTTTATATAATAATAATTAACTAATATGCTAAAAATATCCGTTTTTCTAATTTATATCAATTAATAATAAACTTATCCATTTATGAAACATCTAAATACTTCAATAAAATATTATTTTCTCTAACTTATATCAATTAATAATAAACTTACCATTTATTTAACATCTAACCAATATCTAATCAATAATAATGTATTAATGAAAATAAAAATGCGGAGGAACTGTCTGCTTATTTGCAAATAAGCAGACGGTTCTCCCCCAAAATAGGGAGAGAACTGTCAGGGAGGAAACGTCAGGGGAGGAACTGGTAAGGACTACCGAATCGAAAATATTTAGGACAGGACTGGTGGGTTTCTCTGCTGTTGTTACGAAACAAGATTTTAAGGCATTGGTATTTTGCAGCTGAGGTGTCTTAGGATACCACTTGATCATAGGAACTAATCAATTTTATTTTTTATTTCTTTTGCGTAGTTATACATCGCTTCCTGTGTTTAATAACCGGAAGCTATGTTAGTACAGAACACATGCGCATTGCAACGTTTCTGATAAAACTTTTTTGTTGATGTGACAGTTTTTTAAAATATTTCCGTTTTGCGTCTTATCGCTCAAGTTCATTTGAAAAAAATGACTCGTAAGTATGTTTTTTAAAGAGTAAATTATATTTTGATGGTTGCCATGTAGTGTCGTAATATGTTAAAAAGGATTAGGAGAGTTCATGCAATAAATGGCCAAATTGAACTGTTGAATCCTTCCCAAATTATTTCCGTCATTATAGCCTAATAACCTAACCCATTGAATTAATTTTGTCATGGATATTGATTTGCAGACAGCTCTCCCGTCTGACACTTAGGGTTGAGGGGTTAATTGCCTTAGTTACTGAATTTTGGGATGAAGTGTCTTGATCGGGCTTTTGACATAAAAAAATCATATTTCTAGAAAAATGATAAGATATTTATTTTAAACTTTGTTTGTTTATTGATCATAATATATTACATAAACAGAAAGAAAAATATTTGCTTACTGTCAGTTTTGTGAGAATTATTTCCCCTTTTTCATGTTTATATGACACATATATATTACATAAACAGAAAGAAAAATATTTGCTTACTGTCAGTTTTGTGAGAATTATTTCCCCTTTTTCATGTTTATATGACACATAATTTTTGAAGTCCTTAAAAAATATGTTGCAATGTAAAATTCTTAACAGAAATGTGTCAAAAATCTTCATTTTGCTCAAAATTATTGCGCTAGTACCTTTATTTGGATTTACTATTCTGTTTCTGGCATAAATACTTTGACAATTCTTTGACATTGAACATTATACTTTGAAGTATCCTTTGGAAACTGAATGAAATGTATGCTGTTAGCTGCAATGAATTAGATCATAAAGAAGTTATTTAGCCTATTTTGTTTTATACCTTGTATCACGGATTTATATTACAATTATATGTCAATTAAAGTCTGTGCTTGTATATGTAACATATTTTTTAAGGACTTGGAAAATTATGTTATATAAACCTGAAAAAGGGGAAATAATTCTCACAAAAGTGACAGTTACCAAATATTTTCTTTCTGTTTATCATATGTTATACGTTATGTTCAATAAACAAAGTTTAAAAGAAATCTCTTTATTATTTTTCTAGAAATATGACTTTTTATGTCCAGTGTTTTTTTTCACCAAAATATTCGGCGAAATTCGGCCCCATTTCCCCCTCAAAAAAGTATGTTTCCCCCCCCCCCCCCCTCAAAGCCTAAATTTTCCCCCTATATGGCAGCCCGAATTTGCCTGCAATGAATATCATTTGTTTTTCAACTAAGTACCGAAAAATGTTTTATTTTATGCTTGTAAGAGTTACTGTTAAGAAAGGTTGTTTACAAATTGTTCTCTGGTAGGTAAGGGGAGCTACTCCTGGCTTCCCAACAAGTTTAACATGCCACACATCTATATTTTAGATCTGTATATTAAGAAAAAGAGACCAGACTTCCCGAAATACGTCGGTCCGACGGACATGTCCGATAAATTTTGATCAGGTCCGACGAGTTTTTACTCCGGATCGGTCCGACTGTCCGGCTTTTATCCAAGCCGCATGTATACAAAATGGCGTCGCTAAAGGTGACAAACCTTTTCTTCTCCAAATCCCTCCAGAGGCGTGCACGTCGCGGAGAAGGCACACGGCAGGTCAAGGTCAAATCATCTTAAGTACCAGAGGTGATTGGTTGACCTGTCGTGACTAACTCTGGAGGGTTGGGGCTAACGAGAGCCGTTTTTGTTATCGACCAGTATGGAACTTGATGCCTGGCCAGTATTGTCGTACTCCTCTACCACCAACGAACGAAGAATAGGCTTCAGGAAAGACTCAGCATGAAAAAGACGTCCCCGATGTGACTACCCTAGTGGACCGGCACGGATGCTATATTCTCGGACAGATGGTTTAACCGGCGCCGAGTATAAATAAACTCAAACTGACTGACTGACAAACCTTGGAAAAATTAAAAATCTACGTCAGAGGAACAGGCAGAACAGCAGTAAAAGGATAAAAACAATAGACCTGAGACAAAATTTAATGAAAAATAGAAGCAAGACAGTGAATCGTTGGTGTATGATAGGGAGGAGATGAAAATGCGCTGTAAGGAATGTGCCGATTTTTACGGCGAAAAAATTAAAAACAAAAAGTGTCTTAGAAATACAAACACAAGTTATTCTTTGATTTTGATCAATTTTATTTGGTCCGACAGATTTCGTTTCGGTCCGACAGATTTTCATGGTTTGTCAGACCGAATGTCTGACGGTTTTTTTCAACTTTCGGGAAGTCTGAGAGACGTATTTTAAACTCGTGTTGCAAGAGTTGCTCCCCTTTTCCACCGCAAAGAAAACAATATAAAATAAGTTGACAAATAAAATTCCCCCTCCTATTGCATTTTTCCCCCTCCAAAGGGCACCGACCCCCTTCCCCCAAAAGTGAAAAAAAACACTGATGTCATAAGCCCGATCGGGCATTTTCACCAGCCTGTTGTGGAGTTAGGTGTATTGTTCCTGCAAAGGAGATATGGAAATTTCCATGGACTATCAACAGTCTTGTGCTCTCGGCTGAAACTACCCCTTTTTAATTGGTTGAATCTAGGCGGCGGCACAAAATACCCAAATATAGGTTCGAGCCCCACAGGGAGCGTTAATTCAAGGATGAATGTTTCTCGTGGGACTCGTTCCGAAATGGCCGCTTCGTGAGCCGCGAGGTAGTTAAAATGAATGGTTACCGATTTCTATCCGCCTGGCGCCTGGCATAGTGGTAGGAGTTGGGAGGTACATGGTATGCAGGCAAAAGGTGTCTCATAAGTCAGAAATGGCTGGCCCTTTCAGTAGGGGTGACACTATAATAAACAAGACCTTTACCTTTATAGCAAAATTTGTTTTTGTTTGTATAAAATATAGATTATAATGAGAAATAAATAAATATTTATAAAATAATATGACTAAGCCTGCTATAACTTTCATTCATTCCGTTGAAATGGGCAGTTAAGATGTTGTAAGAAAATAAAGTTGTGACATTTGCTTATCTACTATATAGGTTCTTTATGAATGTACTTGCAATTTTAAATCAAGATATGATATTTGTTGTCTACACTTACATTTTTAAGGTGTAATTTTGTTGAAATTTCAGATCATATACAAGTGTTCATGTTATTTAAAAAAATAGCTTTAATGGAGTACATAATATACTGTATTTTGGTTCAAAACACAATGTTAGGAAAATGTATGTTTGGGTATGTTTGATTATATCTTAGTGAAAGTGTATATTGTATTCATGATTAAAACAGCCTTTTTTTAGTATAAAACATTTATTTTTAGTATAATTGGGCAATATTTGGGTATATTTAGGCAATATTTGGGTATATTTAGGGTATATTTGGGCAATATTTGTTAAACCCACTTTGGAAAACTATCATTATTAATAAGACTATAATTATTATCTTTTAGCCAGACAAGGTTAAAATTGACATAAAAGATCAAATACAATATCAAAAAGTGTTGATTTATATTTGCAGGTGGAAATCAACGGGAAAAGTCCAGGGAAAAGGCTGCGAAGAAAAAGCAAGAACAGGATAGGAAAAAATCTTCATGTGAAAAGGGAGCAAACAAAGGGATGACCCTGGAAGAGAGGAGACATAGGTTTGTATGAAAACAGCAAGATTATACACTGTTTCATATAAAACAAAGAATCCATATGATAATTTTGCTAAAATGTCGAATTTTATTTCCCCAGCTAATGCCAGGGGCTTTTCCCCAAAAAAAACTGGAAATACCCTGGTTGTTATATAAAAAGTGTCTGTTATTTAACACACCTGAATATTTTACTTAGAACAAAATGAAATGTTGCAGAACAAAATATTATTCTGTTACAAGTATTTTAAGAATGCATCCATTGAGCAATGATTTTGTGCATGCACCATTCACTTACATGTAATTAGGAAATTCACTGCATTGTTCCAAACATGTATTTATTTTATACAAGTAGTATGGGAATATTCTGTTTTAAAGTTCAAGCAATGGTTTTTAAAGCAGATATATAATTTTGGTGAAAAAAATTAATTTTACTCGTTAATTCCTTTAATAGAACATCTCAACATAAGATTTTCGCCTAGAACATACATGAGAATATTTTTCACCGAATTGTTTCAGGGACGCTGAGATAATGAGACAAAAACAATTGACGAAGCAGGGGACAGCTGAAGGTGGAGCTACAGGCGGGGCCAGCAAATAACATTACGCCCTCAACAGAATGTTCATTAAATATTCAGATTTGTTTAAAATAGAAATTGGAGCAAAAAACTGATAATTTCATTGTAAATATCATTTATGCTGTCAGTGACTACTTGTTTTATCCACATTTCTGAGGAAGGAAGTGTTCAAAGAATTCAAAAATAGACCATGTTTCTACATAAGATATCTGAAATCATATATGTATTAACTATTACATGGATTAAAACGTTTGTGCTATTCTTTTGAATGGAGCTAAATGAGAGATTATTTTTTTATCTTTTGTTAAATCATGGACAGTCAATTTGTATTATATTATTAAAGCTTTTTGTGGAAATCAACACAAGCTTTTTTCCTGTAGTTTCAGCATGAAGTAGAAAATGCTAACTTAGCTTGTTTTCTGTCATGTACATGTATTATGTTCATTTGTCGCCATTTATAACTTCTGAAGCTGAAATGTTTGTTGTTTTTTATTTTCCCATTTTAATATTTCTATGAATTAATCTATGCTGCTATCTTATTTCTCAATGTCCTAATGTTTGGATTAGCTTTGTGTTAAAGACAAATATATACAGTGTATGTACAGTATATGGCTGAATGTACATGGATTGATACTTTATACGGCATTATATAATATTGAAATTTCAACAAGAGCCACATCTGAGCTAATTTCGAAAGACCAACATTTTTGTGACTGAATTAAAGTTTCACATTTGACATAATCTCATAAGGTCATTTACAGAACAAGGTCATACTTGAATAAGAGGTTCATGGTCAATAGAGCTGTTTTTACAATGAAACAATCAAATCCGTCATTATGGCAATGTCAACTTGACAGTGACTGTCGAGCTCACATTAAGGTAAAGGTAATTGAAAAAGTTAGTTTGTTAACAAGTGTTGTGTCCAAATTAGTAACAAAGATATCTAAATTCAATAAATTGACCTAAATATTCAAGGTCAACATCATATTTAAACTGTTCAACATATTTCTTTTGACGTTTTTTCCAAGTGGGGGTACCGAATAAGTCAGAAAGTTCTTCAAATGCACTACATGTTTTGGACATGCTAGGACCCAACGGGAAGGAATATCTTTACAAAGACTGCATGAAAATCCAAAATAAAAAATGGTAAACGTAGGGGAAAATCAAGAGTGTAGAATCACATTTTGATTTTCTTCAAAAAAGCTTTCAATTTTATAAAAGTTGAAAACATTCCTTGTCAATGACTTTTTTGCCTTCAGTGCACATCTGGATCAGCGAAAATTCACATTTGTGATCCAAAGCTCATAAGTTGTTTGTTCACTGAAAAAGTCATACTGCTGGAACCAATGAAACCATTGGTAGAAAATTTGTTTAAAAAGGGGTTTAATTCGATCAATAAAAACTTCATTGCAGCAAAAATCAAACTTTATTTGCGTTTTTATATAACACGCCAAATATAAACATTATCACTGATGTCCTTCTAAACACATCCCATAGATGACGATTGTCTACAGACAGATGGACAACACCATACCATAGTACGTCTCGAAGAATCATTAAGCGTATAAAAAATAAACTTTAAAAAAAAATAGTGAACCATTTAATCAAAATTCAATAATTTGACAGGACAAATTTGAATTGATTAACTTGTCAGTTTTGTCATGTATAAATCAATTTCATTCACAAAAATCAAAATCAAAGCAAATTTTTTTTATAGGACTTAAATAGTCAAAGTCATTTTTGGAATTATTGTTCATTATGTTGGTTTGATCGTGTTGTTTATTCCAAGTTTGAATAAAATTCCTTTAATAAATGACAAAGTTATGGCAAATTTTAGCAAAATTCAATAATTTGACCTTGAATGTCAAGATCAGAATTACTCGAAAATGGCAAAATGCTTTATCTCTTTTACAAACAGATTTACTTTAACATAGGGAAAGAATAGTTTACAAACCACACTTAAGGAAAGACCTTTCATGTAATAAAGAAATACCTTTTTTTTGTTTCTTCCATATAAAAGATATTATTTCAAAGGACATCATAATTATAACTGTTTCCAACAATTATATTCATATTGGGCACCAGTCTGATATATATTCCATTCAACAAAATGTATCTTACGCATCTGTATGGTTATAAACTGCATGTTGGGTAAAAAAACGACTAATATGCTGAATCCTTTAGTCTGTATTCTTTAATTCAAAATTTATTTTCATGTAAAATGTCAACATTCAGGTTGTACTACTGCATTCTTTATTAGAAAACTTGTCAATTTACACTTCCAAAGGTTAGCTATGATAGACCTATGCCATTATAACAAAATCTGGTCAGTGATACACGCTGGCTCTTTATTGTAACAATGTAGGTCCTCCATTTTGAAAAAATTAAGGATATACTCGATTCCAATTGCACAGCAATGCAAGTCCATTCAATTAATCCAGCAGGTAATGCTTAATTAAATTCGGTAAAAACTGGTTATAGAGGCATCTGGCTTTTCAAAAGATGTCTGGATAATGTATTTGAAAAAAAACAAAAACTTTAACTGAGAAGACGGAGAAGAAATTACTGGTCAACAATTTCTAGTCAACAGATTTCCATGTAAACACAAAGTTAAAACTAGTGTAATGTTTATGTATCTAATTTTTGTTTCCACACAGCAAAGTTTTTTCATTTTGTTTCACCGATTTCTATAATTAGACTGTAAACATCACTGCTTTTGTCCATGTAGTTAACTTCTTGAATTCTGCACAATGTCGCAAACAGAAGAGGCATTCTGAAAATAAAATTACAATCATACATACAATGTCTAAACAATACTTATTTTTCTTTCTCATTTAAGATATTAAGATGTCTTTATTTCTTTATTGTTACTTAATTTCTTCTACAATAATCCATTTTCCTTCCTTTAGACATCTATTTTACTTCCTAACTTCAGCTTAACTGCCTTGAGGCATTTTTTCCCCCTCACTTAAGACATCTATTTTTCTCGTAGACTTACACAATTTATTTGCCTCCCTGACTTAAGACATCTATTTTTCCCCAGACTTAAGACATTATAAAAAATTTCACCCTGACTTAAGACTTAATTAATTTTCCTCACTTGAGACTATCAATTTTTTTAACATCACCACCTTGCGTCCTTCTGTCCATCTGTTACACTTTTGTTCTAAGAATTACTTTAAAAGTATAGAAGGCATTTGATTCAACTTCACCTGGTGGTAGAGATCATTCACAGGAAGTGCAGTGTCCAAGAACCATAAACTCTACCTTGCTTGATTTTTTAATTATTTCCCTTAAACATACACAATGATTTAAAAGGCTCATCAGGTACTGGCTGTTGTGTTAAGTCATGTAAAAAATGTGGCAAAAAAGAAAATATGCAGCTTACCCATAAGCTTTCTCTTCATGTCCTTTGATACTATGTCTTCTGCTGTTTCAAACATAGCAACATGCCAGTCGACAATCTGAAAATGTGGAACTTGAATATTTATTGTTCTTATTAAGTATATAATTATTGCTATCACCTTGATCTTAAAGCTTATTTTAATACAGATTTCTGAATAGTAAATAAATATAGAAATATGAAAACGAAAAAAAAGAAAATATTTTCTGAGGAGGTATTAAAATGAGAAGTAAACAATACTTTACAAACATGATTTATGTAGAAAATCTTATTTGAACAGGGCTTTAAACTTTCTAAAATAAACTATTATTATGTCCTTAAATGAGAAAATGTCTAACAATCCCTTTTTCTTAGCAAAATTCTCAAAGTATTTATATAGGGCATTTGCGAAAATATTTACTTTCTGCAAAATTTGATTCCATGGCTCTGATGTTAAATTCTGTATGTACGCTTGCATACAATTTAATGGTTTGATACCAGTGGACCAATCAATTCTTCCGTCGTCATGCTCAAAGCACTTTTCCAGCCAATCACTGCCCTCCTCACAGCCCGATGTTGGCACAGTTAAAAGGTCAAAGTTGATGTTAAGCAGGGAAGCTACAGATGACCTTGAGGTCCACAAACACACAGCTGCAGCTATTATATTGACAGCAAATTGTGTTGCCTGGAAACAGAGAAAAATGTAATAGTTGTAATATATATATACAGTGGACTCTCGATAACTCAAATTTCAAAAGACTGAGCATTTCAAGAGAAATGGAATTTGAGTAACATGTGCCTGATTGAATGGCCAAAGTAGTAGGTTTGTTATTGTTGATACCGGTATTGCTGAAATATTTAACCATATCACTGACAACTACAAATTATTAATGAACAGAAAGATATCATTTAAAATTTAATACATGTATATTAATAGTGAAACATAAACTTAAACATTTGTAGCAATGAAATAAATGCAAATCAATTTAGTCAGCATTCATCAGTATTAATATTAAGCACATGTTTTTGACAGTTCATTACTATAAAAGCAAAATAACATAGATATTTAAACAACAATACATGTATGTCTAATATCTTGGAGAATATGAATTAATTATCGGACAAAAATGAAAGTAACAAATATCGTGAACCAGAAGTTCATTTTAATCTATGCGTATGTAAAAAGACGGAACATTAATTATACAAATGTGATTTACTTTGATAAAACACTTTTAAACATGATGACTGGCAATTAAAATAACTGAAACTTGTGAACCAGAGTAACAACATCTTGTCTTGATGTCGCCAACCTTTGATCAGTCAGCTGTTTTCACACTTCCACTAACTGAGATGAAAATAAGTTGGACTTTTAATTGATGGAACCAAAAAATCCTTTCCACTTAACAGTCTCAGTAAGTCAAATTTTGACCTAAGTGGAGTAAATGTACAAAGATAAAGAAGGAAACTTGATGAGACTTTACAAATTATTTGACTAACACAGAATTTTGAGTAAGGCAATTTTTTACTTATTGATAGTCAACTGTATATACTTCTTGAGATATCTACCCCTGAAAGTGAAGCATACTGATATTTTATTTCAAATCATTTTTTGCTACTTCATTTTCAGTCCATAAGCAAAGTTAAGAATAATTTTATCAAAATAGGTTTTGCTATCCTTCAATGAAACAAAGCATTTTTTCTTCACACAGCGTAACAGAAAGTTCGCTTATTCAACTATAGATTAAAATCTGCTAAAAAAATTTCAGAAATTTTGCACCATGACAGGGAATATATTAACAAACACAAATTTAAGAGCACATGGGATGTTGCTTGGCACAGTTTTAATTTCCAATTTAGTCTTGTTCGTCCCCAATCTGTGTATCATTTTTGAAAAGAATATCAAAATACAAACTGACTAATGAACAGTGCAAATCATGATCAGATGGCATGAATATGCTGCCCAAAGGCAAATGATTTATTAATTTAATATAATAAATGTAAGTAAGATAAATTTCTGCGTAATATTTGACATGGGATAATAATTTCTGCAGAGAGTTCCTAATGTTTGAATAAATCAAATTGTGTAATCTGTTCACTACTTTTAAATTACATCAACATTCACACAAATCTGTTGGTTATGTCTTAAAAAATATATTCAATGTGCTTTAATTCAGTCAAATACCTTGCTTATATCAGCATCTTCTGCTGTCAGTTTAAACGTTCCCATGGCAATGTTTCGACAATGGCCAGTAATTTCATGTAGCCATTGTACACATTGTAAAGTTGGTTTTTTCGTTCCTTCTAACATCATCATACGTTGGAAACTGTGAACTAAGATACTCAAAACTTTGTCTCTGTCACTGAAATATTGCATTACAAGCCATGAAAAATTGGAGAAAATAGTAATAACATGTACCATAAATGACAAAACCATTGGGAACCTACACATAGTACTTAAGATCTGTGCAAAATAGCTTCTTCATAATTATGAAAGAATCCCTGAATTCCCTGGCAGGTTCAAAAGTTTAGAAATACGCAGGCAAGCTTTGTTTACTTATTTTTCTGTAAGGAAACTGATTTTTATGTAACAATACGAAAATGATACACCAAGCTGTAAATTTGCACAATTAGTTTCATTGTTGAAGAATAAAAACATACCATTCAGTATTAAAGGTAGCATCTATACAGCTGTTTAGTAGTGTGATGGGCTGGTTACCATTAGCAACAAGGAAACTACGTATGAATGTCCCTCGTGTCACAGAGTCCTTGCAGGTACAGTCTCCAGTTGTTATTTTATCAAGCAGGGAGTCTGGTATATTACGTAAACATTCAGCCAGATTTATCAATACATCAACCTGTATATATACAAAATATCATTGCTAAATGACTTCCTAAAACACAAAATGAAGTAACAATTAAATTTAAAGAACTTTACAAATTTGACCTTGAAGGTCAAGGTCACATTTCAATGTGTCAGTCCAGAGTCATGTCACTTCCATTTTTATTAAGAAAATAAAAATGCCTACATAATGAAGAAAGTGTTCAAATGCTGGCAGTTAGCTCAAAGAGTGCATTAGATTTTGTACCAGTAGATCTACTAATTTGGTTTGTTTTTGTTTTTCCTAATACTAAATGTAGTAACTCCTGACATTTCAGTATATATCACTTAAAATAGTGTAGGTCAAATTGATTAAGCAGAATTACAGTTGTATTGTCTTCAATGAAACAAACAATACATATATCTTGAAGATTCAACAGATTCTTATGTCCACTGACCCATTATTTTTCTCTGAGCTTTTACCACAACATACTTAGATTATATATAAAAAAATGTATAAACATAACTAGTAAATATATATTCTTATGACTGTTTTACATAACAAAGAAAATTAAGAAAGCTTTAAGAGAACCACTTACGTCAGATTCACTACCAGTATGTTGGTAAACAAACTCAACCATATCATACAACATTGCTGTTACTGATTCTGGTGGGTCATGAACAGCAAGGGAAGAGTGAAGTCCCTTTAATACTGCAATTTTGAGTGCTCTCCCTTCTTTACTTCCTGTTTCAGCAGACGATGTTGCAAAAACTGGTCTACAGCATTTGTCCAAAAATGATTTCAGGACGTCAGGGGTAACAGTTTTGACATAATGTCCAGCAGAGGATAACAGCAAACACTGGAATTTTACCTGTAACATATTTTGATCAAAATGAATAAAAGATTCAAATGATCAACATATAATAATGATTACAATGATAAAATAGCAAATTTGACAATATTTCATAAATGAGAATTTCATTTGCTCTTTCATTGATTCCAAGGCAATTCACACGAACAATGTCCAGAAATGACTTGAAAGACCAAGACAATCAATAACTTTGCTTGTGAGATTTTTTGTCCACAAGGAGACATGTGGTTTTGTTCAAAGAGTTTTCAGAGATCCATTAAATATTAAATTTTCCTTCAGAATTGATTGACTGATGTTCAAATTTTAATATAAACAGGACAATCTATAAATTTTTCATGCATTTATTCTAACCATTTGCTATTATCAATTATTAGTTAATCCCTGTTAGAATAGTCAATCTTTGAAATACATAGCTAACTCAGTTCATCCTGAGAGCAAAAAAAAAAATGAGCATAATCTGACAACTTTTCTGACCCAGTATATCACAGAGAGTAAATTCAAATGAATTGCTGAGTGAGACCAAGGCTCTCACCTTCAGCCTAAAATCATTAATAATGCTGGTGGCCTTAATAACATGCATGGAACCTTACCGGAAGTGTGTTGAAGAGTGGCGGTACAATCCATGCAGCTAAAAATAGAGCGGCAGATGATGAAGAACTGCTTAACTTCACAGCTAACTTGATACATAGTAACTTTATCTCCTCATCTGCAAAAAAATACGAAAGATATATCAAACATGATAAAAATGCGAAAGCTATATCAAACATGATAAAAATGCGAAAGATTTATCAAACATGATAAAAATGCGAAAGCTATATCAAACATGATAAAAATGCAAAAGATATATCAAACATAATAAAAATGCAAAAGATATATCAAACATGATAAAAATGCGAAAGATATATCAAACATGATAAAAATGCGAAAGATATATCAAACATGATAAAATGCAAAAGATATATCAAACATGATAACAAGAGGGCCATGATGGCCCTGAGATGATGGCCCTGAGGTCGCTCACCTGTTTATAGGCCCTGGAGCGGGGCCAGTTTAAACCCCAGGGCTTTTATTTGAACAAACTTGGAAGACACCCATTAGAAGATGTTTCATGATGTTAAGTTTTTACTACACACATATAATGAAAAACAATGACCTCCTCCTTGCCCCCGGGCCCATTTTAACCCAAGGGCTTTTATTTGAACAAACTTGGTAGACACCCATAAGAAGATGTTTCTTGCTAAACATCTAAGCTCTAGCACATTGGGTTGATTAAAAAAAGATTTTTAAGTTTTTGCTATACACATATAGTTAAAAACAATGACACCCCTGGGGCGGGGCCAGTTTTGACCCCAGGGCTTTTATTTGAACAAACTTTGTAGACACTTACTAGAAAATGTTTTATGCTTAATATCTAAACTTTAGCTATTTGGGTTTTTTCAAAGAAGATTTTTAAGTTTTTGCTATACACATATAAGGAAAATCAATGACCCCCGGGGCGGGGCCAATTTTGACCCCAGGGCTTTTATTTGAACAAACTTTGTAGACACTCACTAGAAGATGTTTTATGCTTAATATCTAAACTTTAGCTATTTGGGTTTTTTCAAAGAAGATTTTTTAAGTTTTTGCTATATATACACATATAAGGAAATTCAATGACCCCCGGGGCGGGGCCAATTTTGACCCCAGGGCTTTTATTTGAACAAACTTGGTAGACACTCATTAGAAGATGTTTCACGCTAAATATCTTAGCTCTAGCTCTTTTGGTTCTTTAAAAGAAGATTTTTTAAGTTTTTACTATATGCATATAGGGAAAATCAATGACCCCCTGGGGCGGGGCCAATTTTGACCCCAGGGCTTTTATTTGAACAAACTTGGTAGACACTCACTAAAAGATGTTTCATGCCAAATATCTAAGCTCTAGCTCTTTAGGTTTTTTAAAAGAAGATATTTAAAGTTTTTTCTTTCGGTTGCCATGGCAACCAGAGTTCTGCATGGAATGGAATTTTTTGAACAACTTTGTTAAGGCTTCACACAAGGAACATCCCTGTGAAGTTTCATTATGATCTGCCTTATGGTTTCAGAGGAGATGTCGTTTTTAAAGTGTGAACGGACAACAGACGACATTCGACAGACAACGGACAAAGAGTGATCCTAATAGCTCTCCCTGAGCATATGCTCAATATGCTCAGGAGCTAAAATGCAAAAGATATTAGACATAATGGATAGTTTGGACAAAGAAGCTGCAAATGTCCTTAAATTATCAGTTGATCATTTGATTAACTGTTGGCCAGAAAAACAGTGCAAACAGCCAAATGTGAGCTACATATGACCTCTAATATCCTTTATTTTTCAGTCCCCAGGAACTTATTTGAATTAACAATTTCATAAAATGGAAAAGTTTTAGCAAGCATCCCTAAACCTTTAAAGGGACCCCACTAAGGTTTTTTGACATGATGGAACTGAAAATATTTTTTTCCAGATAAATGTACGATTTGATGTAGGATTTGACCACTAATCTTAAATCATTCGAGCACTTTGTTTTTCCACAATAATTATTCAAATTGTAAAAAAATGACCCAAAATGAAAAGGGTTTTAACACTTTTCACTCAAAATGGTCTAAGAAAAGCATAAAAATACGATTTTTAATTTATTTCAAAGTATATTTCTTAACTATCTTTGCATACATTTCTGTTTAAAGTGCCTCAGCTCATTTATGTAAGAAATTCAAACATTATGTTTTTAGACTTTCAAACCTCATAGGAGTCCCTTTAAGTTCAATGTGTATGAAAAAGGTAAAATGTTACTGTTCAGATAAAACACTGACAACCTACCAGTGTACATATCAAGATGCTACTGTTTTTATCATTTTTTTTAAGAAAGTCAATCTGGCATACACACATTTAGTAGTAATCTTGACTTTGTTCCTGCATTAAAAATTTTGCCTACTAGTATTCAAAGAGTAAAGTATGTTATCTTATTTCTAGAATTTAAAAGATCAACATCATCCAGCTGTCAATTTAGATATTTTTGTATTACTTATAATACTGTTTTAGCTTTACATAAAATATCAAAATCAATGTAATTACCAAATTGCAATTTCATTAAGGGAGACAAAATCCCCATCCAATTAAGTGGTGGTAAAGTTGCAGTTACTTCCCTTTGCAGACTTACAAGGCAGGCTTCAACTTGTTTACTTGGAATAAATTCAGGACCTGAAAACAAATTAGTACATATAGGTATAAGACATAAAGACATGTCAAAGATTTGGGTTCAAGAAAATTGACATGATTATTGTCATATGACCACTTTCCAACTATGCTGGTAGAGGAACAGCTCAGATGTCTACCCAGGCATACATTATTTTATACACAAGTACACGAGCTTGAACCTTGTAGAAACCATCCACTTCCTGAAAGCAAGCTTAACAGCTTAATCAAATAATGTCATTTAGATTACATGTCAAAGTCACATATATAACTATTTTACTAGAAAGTGTCCAACAACAACAACACTTTCTGAACAATATGTCTTTAATACATGTATGTAAAATTGATCAGTTCTGGTGATTGACATGTAGCTTATTTAAAATCAAGCAAATCATTTTTACTTAGCTTCATTGTGACAAGATGAAAAATCAGACCTATAGAGACATTACAATTTAATTTGCAGACGACAAATTAGATTTAGTCACCACAATAGCAATTTTAGTGCTCAGGTCACAGTCAGGTGAGCTAAAAACAATGAAATTGTCCTTACCTTGTTTTCCTGCTTGAATTAGGAAGTCAACCACTGCCCGTAGAATACTGTTTTCCTGTAGATAGCTGTATGTGCCCGGTGCTGTAAGATTCAAATCAATTAAAAGTAAATATGGTCTAGAAGGTTAGGTATCTGGGTCAACTTGGGATAAATGGGTTCAAGCCTTACTTTGGTCATCACCCTATTTTTCCACATATTATACAAGTCTTAATTAGTTCTAGAAAATGGACTCCAAAGCTGTTCAAATAACTTACAAGTTTTTCTAAATAACATAGCATATATAAGTAATGTTTAAATATACTATATGAAAATTTCCTTTGAAATATTTGCTTCTCGGCTTGATAAATATACCAATAAATCCAATATGTCAAGTTAAGGAATTACAGAGACCAACCTTTTAAGGAGAGTAATATTGATATCTTTGAGTTTCTACTTGATCATTATTAACAGTATTTATCTCTTGCATATTCAACTTGTTGTAAGAAAAATCACTCCCTTAGGACAATCAACTAAAAAAAAAGTTTCTGTAAAACATCATTCTTCCTGAAAAATACTAAATTGAATTTAAAATGGGCCACAACAAAACAAGAGGACCATAATGGCCTTACACAGCTCATCTGAGATTTATTGCACGAAAAGGTTATAATTTTTCAATGTAGGTCATAGAGTTGCAATGTTGTGCTCAGGTAGCTAATACTAAGACTTTGGACATATAAACACAATTGTCAGACAAACAACAACCATCACTCATGATGGAGGTTAGAAAAACATTTTAGTATCAATATTCTTTCAAACACACACAAATTAATTAATATTTTACCAGATACTGATGAGCTGTAATTAGTGCTTGAAGCTGACATGTATATAGTGCCTAGCAACCAGCCAGCTGTTGCCTGGATACCAACAAGGTCACAAGAGGTCACTAGGTCTTTGATGCTTTTTATGACAGTATCAATGCCAGCTCTTGAAGTAGATAATGATTTGGTATCATCCTGCATGGAAAAATAAGTTATTATTGTTATAGTAAGTCATAACTATACACTGACACAAGTATCGAAACTAATCAATACTCAATACTTTTTTACATTATAAATCCCTTTAAAAGCAGCATGCTCCAAAATTTTTGATAATTTTAAAGAAATGAAAAGTACTTTTTACCAGTAAATATGTTGTCAATAATTCATCGTAAGGGATTAACACCTGGCCTATCGCACTTACAACAATAAACATTATTTTAAACATGTCAAAATACATAGACAAGGCCCTTAATTAAAGGGTAAAAATTTCTTGATAAAAAAATATCATGAAAGTTTCCTCTTATTTTAAATGAGATTCATGATGTTTTTGTAGTTTATCCTCCAGATCACCGCAGTAAGCCTTTTTGAATTTACCAGAACACAGTTCAGCCACTGTAGCACAGTTCAGCCACTGTAGCACAGTTCAGCCACTGCTTTGTCCTGGGCAGGCTGTTAAGCAGTTTACCAATACAATGCCTTCATTTTAGCAAGGAACAGGTTCAATGACAGTAGAAAGGAGTAAGATAATAATCGGTCACAACAGAAGTGATGTGCACTGTTTTGGAATCAAACTTTGGTTGCCTGATTTACAGTCCGACACTTCTTAAACCCTTTAGTGACAAAAAAAATTCTCACTCTTCTTAAGGTATGCCACTTACAGTTTCCAAATCAACAGGACAGGATGAGATCATTACACAAATTCAGAAGATTATAATGAAAATATTTATTAAAAAATTTCTTAAACTTCCTTTCATTCTCCTTCAAAAACAAACAACTTGGACCTACATTTCCATACAATCCATTATATCCCATTACCGACACCAGACCATAAAGGGAGGCTACTCTCTCTAACTCTGTGCCGTCTGCTTTGGTCAATGTTGTTTTCCAGTCAGATATCAGTTTCTGTTTCAGTTGAGAAATTTCTGGGTGCCCTCCAATCTCTCCAGCAAAACATAAACTTCCAAGGGCTAAACAAATTCCTGCACCCTGCAAATAAACACATGAAAATTAGCCATCAAAACAATCTTTTGTTAGTTATCAATGTTGCAAAAGTCCATTGTCTAAGAGATTACTTTGAGCATAAATGGACATTCCCTATAAGAGGTTTCTCCCATTAAACAGTACAACCTATGCAGAGGTTCCTCTTTTAGATGGCAAAGTTTCTCCAGAGAGGTTAAATTTATAGCAAACTATTACATAGGGAAGAATTATGATTTTTTTTTACAGTGGAAATTGCTATAAAAAAGGCCTTATTGCAGAGATTGCACTGTACATGCTGACTTATAATAAAGCAAATATCATGATAATGTATATTGTTCTTCACTTTACTTATATTTATAAAATCTGGTTCAGTTTTAGATAATACAAACATTATTATCATTTTTATAATATTACTCTCTAGTAAAGGAGTCTTGCTTGTGTTCTACTCTTAATTAATTAGGGTCCAGGCACTGAGAGTACAGACCTGAACGTGTCAACAACCATGCCTTTTAAATAGTATCAAATTGCTAAATGGTGGCATATTAATTTGACCACAGTATTTTTGTCCAACAGTTTAAACTGGTACTATTCATACCTGTGTATTAGTGTCAGTAAGATCCTGTATAATGGCTAGGGTTTCATCAAAACAAGACTTATCCAAGATGTTTGAAACAAAACCAGTTCCAGTCACTAAACCTATACATGTGCATAACACCTGTGAAGAAATGATGGAAAAAAACCAATGAAAATATAAATTTATAGTTATGAAGATAAAAAGGTAAAATTTATGTTTCACCATATTGGCACCTAACACTCAAAATTACATAATACATATGGGGCGTCCGTTGATGAGTGGTTAAGGTCGTTGACTTAAAACCACTTGCCCCACACTGCTGTGGGTTTGAATCCTGACAGAGGCTTTTAATTTCTTTCATGAGAAGGAAATTATCCAGCTAGCTTACGGAACATCGGTGGCTCTACTCAGGTGCACGTTCATGCCTATGTACAGAGGGGCACCTGAGGTATTCCTCCATTAGTAAAGCTGGAACATCACCATATGACCTTTAAAGTGTTGGTGTGATGTAAAACAAATCAAACAAAATAGATATATTTTTCTCTTCTTACAATATATTAGGTACATAAAATGTTAATCTTACACCATATAAAATTTAATTAAATATGTTTATTATATTAATGCATACATTTTTAGAAAGAACGTGAAAATTCCATTTATTTTTCATTATTTTTTATATATGAACAAAATTACTATATGTATATGACCATTACTTACTTGAAAATTTGAATGTTCTCTTGGTGCTTGTTTTAATGCATCTTTTAGTTTGGCATGTATTGCTGAAATATGCACTCTTGATTCGGTTTTACCATCTTGACAAAGTGTACCCAGACTTACAGAGAGACCCAACAATGCCCCAGTCCTGTAATTAAACATAGTCAAGATAGTCTTTTAATGTGTATTATTATGTCAAAGCTCTCAATAGTTTAAAAGTAGAGATTTTTGTTGTCTGTAATGCTCCTAGACAAGGATTACTCATTTTTGAGCATGGAGACTCAACAATCAGCATGGACACTAAACCTTGATCATGGAGACTTAACTTTGAACTTTCACCGTTGGCCATGAAGACTCAACTTTGACCACTTCAGTTGGAGACTCCTTATTAGCCACTTCAGCATTGGGGCTGAATCTTGGCAACTTAGTTATGAAAGCTTGACCTTACAACATAATGGAAGCTTGACTTCTAAAATATTTATTGCCACTCTCAAAATCAATCAGATGTGGTATAGCTGAAGTTTTTGAACACGGAGTAAATCTCAAGAATTCTTTTGCAATAAATAATCATTCTTTAAGTTATTTTTCAGCATTTACTAACTTTAAATACTAGTAATCTAAAGGGCTAAATCCAATTCATATTTGAATAACTAATGAATGAACAGTAATTTCTGTTCAAAATTATTTTGCCTGTATTTTTGGACCCTTTCATGCAGTTTTTATATTACCTGTGTTCAGAGTCAGACAGACAACACTCTTCAAGTTTGTCTAAAGCTTTCCATACTGCCAAACTGCCCTAAAATAAATGTAAAATATTTTAGCAGTATTAACAATAACGTCTTTCCGACAATATAGAGCGTATAAAGCTAGACTCAAATACTTGTCTCTATTGCAGTCTTTATCTCCCATAAAAACAAAGGTGGCCAGTTTCAAATTAAAAGCTCATTACATAAATGCAAGGCCATTAACAGATAAGAAAAAAATGGTCTTTTGGATATAACTTTAGGAGAAGATACCATGTGCAATAAATTAAACAAGTATATAGAAGTACAGAGAACCTTCAATTAAGCAAATGGGTGGTTTCTCCATATAAAATATTTCTAAGTTCCAGATCGGATTTGAACTCAAAAAAGACAGCCAAATATGTTTTAAAGTCAGTAAACTTAAAATCCTCAAAGACAAAGACTCCCTATGATAGTTAAAAACCAAAATGATTTAAAATAACTATATAACAAGATAACAATACCAAATAGGGGCATTATGTGAAAATACTGGTAAACAAGTTATTCAATGAAAAACTTAACATAAGGATCAGCATGGCTTGGAAATATGCATGACCAAGATGTAATACTTACTTTGGAACCTGCAATTTCTGTGAAATTTGAAGATATCAGTTGATCAAGGAATACTCCGAGACCCAAAGAGCGGAAGAAATGTAAAACTGGTGGACAGTCATCATCTGACTGTTTCCCTGGTAACCATTGTATTAACATGTCCAGAAGTTGATAAACAAGCTCTGAAAATTGTAATTAAATAATGACTCAGGGCAGCTGCATGAACCAGTACATGTATTTTGATATCAAGAAATAAACCAATATAGCCAAAATCCCAGATATACCGTAAAAATTGCCTTGAATTTGGAAAATTTCGACCTTAACAGTTAATGCTTAGAAGGTCATACATGTAAAATGAAATTCTCATTGAAAGGATTTTTCCAAGTATTAAGGCTATATAATACAGAATTAAGATGTTATGATGTTTACAGACAGATTAGGTCCTAATTGTGATCCCCAATCTTTCAATGCAAGGACATAAAAATAATCACAAAAGCTTGCTGGTGGCAACAAAGTCTACCTATGCAACCAGTGCCGACCAAGGTCAGTCTGAACATCCATGCTGTCTGATCATGGCCTGCACTGTTTTGCTATTAAGTCAGTACATATTTTGAAATTTTTAACAAAAATGATAAATGGTTTAGTCCTGATCAAATGATGGACAAGTCCATTTCAGATAGTGAGGTAAGGGTAAATATAACAAAATGCTAAAATTATGAAGTAATCAGTATTGTCAGACAACATTAGTCAAATTGCATTAGTCTTGGTCAGATCACCTCAACAATGGTCAATCAGACCTGACTTCTGGCACAAACAAGCCATTATCCCATGCTTATTTCCTACAAGTTGTTCATATTTTATAAGATGATAACCATTTACTTACCTATGTAATTATTCATAATAAGAGATGCTATTTGGCAAAGAGCCAAAATTCCTGCCGCCTGAGCTAAAATGCTGGCTGGAAGTCTGTCATCTACAGAACGCTGAAATGAAAAATTATATAATTATACATTTTATATAATTATGCATTTAATGATTTACAAATACAGGAGAGGAAAAGAGCAGGTCAGTTCATGAATGGTGAAAGGAAAATAATGACCAAAGTGGTACAATTATATTTTTCTTTATGAAGGTTTACACACATAAATGCTACAAACTAAAGGTCTCTATATTGTATGCATTATTTCAGACACAAGTTAATATATACTAGCATATTTTCAGTCCAATCAGAACTAGTTTATGCTCTGACATAAGCATATAAAGTTATATATCTGATGCCTGAAGTAAACAAAATTCTTGTCTGAATTTTGAATAAGAAAACTTCCAAAAAAACCTATTTGATATGCAATATGTTTGCATACTAAATTTCCATGAAAGGGAATGGTGCTCACACTTAACAGTACAATGTATGTACATTATTCATGTGTGTTTCATTCATTCTATGCTACAACTCTTTCAAAATTCTATCATTGGAATATGAATGCAACATAATTCTATTGTTTAAAGATTTGATGAAATATTTCATTAGATATTTTTACTTTATATCTTTTAAATGTAGTTTGTTTATGTTACACAATAAGTTTTGTATAATTAGTCATGTCGTATTTTTTAATATATACATTGTAGGTTAATTGTTTTGTTTTCACAAATTTACCTGCTGACATAATCCGAACAATGTAGATTTTGGCATGTACGTGAAATCAATCAGTGACATACAGCTGTCAATCATAATGACTAGCCAATGAGAATGACTTGTGTGCTCCGTGACATCATCCATTCTCTTCCTCTCTTCACTATCCAAACTTGATATGTACCTGTGAACGCTCCGAGCCAAACCGGACAGGGCAAGAACAGCGTTGAACTGAACTGATGGATTGCCCCTGGTGTGAGAGTAACATTATATGTACCAATCAAAGATAACATTGCAGGGCAAGAACAGTGTTGAACTGAACTGATGGATTGCCCCTGGTGTAAGATTAACATAATATATACCAATCATAGATAACATTGCAGGGCAAGAACAGCGTTGAACTGAACCGATGGATTGCCCCTGGTGTAAGATTAACATTATATATACCAATCATAGATAACATTGCAGGGCAAGAACAGCGTTGAGCTGAACCAATGGATTGCCCCTGGTGTAAGATTAACATTATATATACCAATCATAGATAACATTGCAGGGCAAGAACAGTGTTGAACTGTACCGATGGATTGCCCCTAGTGTGAGTAACATTATATATACCAATCATAGATAACATTGCAGGGCAAGAACAGCGTTGAACTGAACCGATGGATTGCCCCTGGTGTGAGATTAACATTATATATACCAATCATAGATAACATTGCAGGGCAAGAACAGCGTTGAGCTGAACTGATGGATTACCCCTGGTGTAAGATTAACATTATATATACCAATCATAGATAACATTGCAGGGCAAGAACAGTGTTGAACTGAACCGATGGATTGCCCCTGGTGTAAGATTAACATTATATATACCAATCATAGATAACATTGCAGGGAAAGAACAGTGTTGAACTGTACCGATGGATTGCCCCTAGTGTGAGTAACATTATATATACCAATCATAGATAACATTGCAGGGCAAGAACAGTGTTGAACTGTACCGATGGATTGCCCCTAGTGTGAGTAACATTATATATACCAATCATAGATAACATTGCAGGGCAAGAACAGCGTTGAACTGAACCGATGAATTGCCCCTGGTGTAAGATTAACATTACATATACATGTACCAATCATAGATAACATTGTACTTCTTCTGACAATTGGGACTCCTCTGAGGTTTTTTGACATGACAGGACTGGAAATAAATTTTCAAGATTAATGCTCCATTTGAGATATTTTTTATGCAAAATTTTAGATTTCACGCTCATTCAGTTTTTCCAGATAAGTCATATTTATTGAGCAAAGTGACCAAAAATTAAAAAGCGTTGCAGGGTTTTACACTAAAATTGGGTAAAGAACATGGGCTAAAATATGATTTTCAACTTAATCTGAGTATTTTTTTCTTATTATCTTTTGCATATCTTTCTATCTTAAGTGCCCCAGTTGATCTATGTAGGAAATTAAAATTTTAGGTTTTTAACTTTAGGACCTCAGTGGAGTTCCTTCAAGGGATAAATGGATAAACAGTATTTTAATAAACAAAATAATACATTATGCAATATATAAAACGTACAAAAGTCATAAATTATCAATTCTTATTAAGTAGTTTTGGAAATAGACATGAAATCAAGTACATTGTACTAGATATCTATCACAATTCATTTCCTTACATGTCTTTATTTTCAAATATTATACAAATTTACATATAAGACTGACAGGACATGGCATACTTTATGCAATTACAATGAGGCAAATTTTGCTTAAACTCTCAATGCTGTTATATTTTTTCCTTTCCTTTAGTATAATTTATACCAAGATATTTAGAGTTGAATACTGCATAAGCAAGTGCTAGGGAATGTTAGATACAGAAGAACTTCGGTATGTCGAAGTTGAAGAGACTTGTGTAAAATCTAAGACACATCAGGACTTCGACACAATAATATGTTTCAATTTAATGATAAAATTTCAAGCCGTCAATGTTTACAAGCAAGTTACTTAAGGTATAACAAAACGAAAGGGTGATAACTAAACTAGCTTATAGCAGACTTTCATTTTACTTCAGCACAATCGAGAAAACTGACTAGTCAAAGTTCAACTCATAGAAGTTTAACTATATGTTGCACTTTTCATTATCAAGAGACTCAATCAGAAAGTGTCTGCAATTTCAATGACGATAATATCTAATAACATCAGCTAGCTGCAAAACGGATGTGTCTAGTTCATTCAATAAAAGCAACAGCCATTTTACAACCAAGCTTTTGATCTTTGATATGACAAAAAAGTGAATTATACAGTACATTGATAATGTCAGTGTTGAAAGTAGAAAAACAAACAAACAAACAAAAAATATTTATTACTACCTGGTTGACTTCTTAATCATGTCCATAATGCTGTCTCGTACCCTGAAAATAAAAAAAGGGAAACAGTCAATAAGTTGGTTTCTATAACCACTTGCCATACAAAAAAAATTAATTATTTAAACCATTCCATTTGTCTGTTGATTTGTCTTGTTTTAGTTTCTTTTGTTTGTCAGTTGATATCATAAGACTATCTGTTTTTCACTTCATTTGTTTTACTTTATTTGTTTGCAGAAAGCATCTACACAAATTAGATTTTACCTGTTGGGGACAACTAAAAGGAATGGAGTCAAGTAGCTTGAAAATTTTGAGAAAAATGAAAAACATGTACGAAATGGATCAAAACTGTTTTGTCAATAAATATTAGAAATTTATAAAAAAATTTATTTGAGCATCTATTGAGACAATCGAGTGTTATAATTATTAAACAATTATATAAATGAAGTTGCAAAAACTTCCCCACAGCTGAGGAAATATGTCATGTATAAATTTCTACTTTTTTCTCATGTTTTGTCTTAAGAGACTGTTTCATTAAGCGACCGTTTTTGGTGTTTCCCTTGCGCGGTCGCTTAAATACACGCTTGATTGTACTAAATGTTTCTTTTGTCAATCACTCAAATGGCAGTAAGGGGCTGCAAAAAAAATGAAAATCCTGATTTTTATGAATCTACAATAAAATATCCCTAAAAACTTACCAGAACCAAGCTGACAACTTCTTTTCTTCAGCCTCTTTCTCATCAATAAAATCTCTATTTAACTGAAGATCTATCTCTGCTTTCCTTGCCTGAAAATTTAAATATGTCATGAAACTTCTATTGGCTTAAACATTTTTATATAAGCTCGATTGAGAAACAAGTTCTTACAACTTATATTAATCACTTTCGAGCCCGTTTCCTGGAACCAACCAGTACTGGTGTCATATTGTTTAAACTAAACCGTACTCTTCCAATTGCTGATCTGGAGATGGTTTTATTTTGATTACTCTTAAGTTAAACATAGTTTTTATTTCTGTCTCAGTTGTGATAAAACCATGAAGCTTGTTTGAATCACTCTCCGATCTGCTCCCTGAAGCTAACCAGTACTGGCATTATCAGGAAACATGTTCGAAGTGCAGTAGAGTTGCAATCCATGACCACTAGGCTACTAGGCAGACACCTTAACCATCCCTTGTAATGTTTTTGTCAGCTTATCACTGCAAAGGTCATTTGGCTTAATTGAGCCTTAATTAATGGATAAATACCCTTACTACATTTAAGGCATGCTTAATGCACAGATAGAAACTTGATTTGCTTATCATTGAAGTGAAATATCCAATTCCATAACATGAGAAAGGAAATTGTCAGTTATATAATATACCTGTAACATTGCTGAGAAAAGTCTGTCAACAAAGGCAGTCCAAGCCTGTCCCATGAGAGATGTACGGTACCAATCTGAGGGTTGTACTGGTACATCTTGAAGTAACGTATTAAACACTTGTTGATAATTCTTGCCATGGGATAGCATGTAGTGCTTCCTTGGTCTTCCATCACGTCCTACTTCTATCTTTGGATCATATGTGAACAGCAGAGCAACTGGTACAAAGCAAATTCACATTAACTTAAACAGTACAATGTATATATCAAAATGAACTTAAACCCTTGCCCTGCTGGAACCAAAAGTGATTAGCCTTTATCACTAACATAAAGCCAGGCCAGCCTGCACATTCATGCAGTCCGGCCAGGCTCTTTAATTACTATGGGCTAACTCAACTAGTAATTAAATTTCAGCTTGATATTCCCCCCAAAACAATAATTGATAATTCCAAATTGGAACCTTGATAAGTATAATTTAAGAAATTCCACAGGTTAAAGGTTAAAAAGATTCACAACTTGTTGATGTGTTTGGGAGAGATACTAATTTTGAGTGCAGTGTCACTACATTTCACAGTTCAAGTTCTGATTTGCATTAATATAATGATGAAGACCATTGGGATGAGGTAATAAATACAAAGTGTCTCAATGATAAATGAAATATCAAATATCAGAAAAAAATAATATCTGTTTTTCTTTTTCACATAAAAGAACCAATGGAAATTAGTTGGATGTAACATTTAGCACTAAATATTGTTGAAAAATTAACAAGTACTTTTCTATAAGATAAATAAATACCTTTACCATAGTAACCCATTGCAATTTAAGTAAATTACAATAATTTACCTGCAAGACTTGCCCTTAAACCAGGTTGTTTATTTTTGTCATACTGTGATTGGACAAAATTAGGAATTGCAGTCAATTCCTTGCTCTGATTTGATAAAGACCCTTGTTGCCGTAGTGACGTGAAGTAGATGCCCCGTGGGAGATTCTCAGCTTCTTTCCCTACCATAGCTGATAAAAAGTCAAGAAAACCTGAAAATTTAATATTAAATATGTTTAATACATGTTATTATTTAATTTGAATTGATTTAAATTCCATGTTATGTCATGTTAAGCCATTTAACAATTTTTGGACACTTGCATTTTAATACCCAATCTCCAACAAAGCACCTATGATGATCTATGTAGACTTATAAATGTTTTGTTTGCTATCAAGATATTCTCTAACAAAAACTAGAACTGTGTCCAAAGGACACGGATGCCCCCACTGTGCAGATGTGCTCGTAAACAAGAGCATGCATATCTGTATGTAAGATTTTTATGTGGAACTTTTTATTAAAATCTGCCATCCGGTTTAAAGGCTGCATTCACAAAATTTCTATATGGTAAATAGTGAAAAAATCAAAAAAGGGCCATAATTCTGGTAAATTTGGTTGCAGCAAAAATTTCTTCCTTTACTGCCATCTACACATTAAGGGAAGTTTAATCAAAATCTGCCATCCGGTTTAAGACGAGTTGCGTTCACAAAATTTTTACATAGTATATAGTGAAAAAATCAACAAAGGGCCATAATTCTCTTAAATTTGGTCACAGCAAAAATTTCTTCCTTAACTACCATCTACACATTAAGGTTGTTCATCCCTGGAAGTTTAAGCAAAATCTGCCATCCGGTTTAAGAGGAGTTGTGTTCACAAAATTTTTACATAGTATATAGTGAAAAAATCAACAAAGGGCCATAATTCTGTTAAATTTATTCGCAGCAAAAATTCCTTCCTTAAATGCCATCAACACATTAAGGTTGTTCATCCCTGGAAGTTTAAGCAAAATCTGCCATCCGGTTTAAGAGGAGTTGCGTTCACAAAATTTCTACGTAGTATATATTGAAAAAATCAACAAAGGGCCATAATTCTGTTAAATTTGGTCCCAGCAAAAATTCCTTCCTTTACTACCATCTACACATTAAGGTTGTTCATCCCTGAAAGTTTAAGCAAAATCTGCCATCCGGTTTAAGAGGAGTTGCGTTCACAAGATTTCGGGACTTTGTGGGGGCATAAAAAAAGAACAAAACATAATTAATTTTATCTTAAAGTGATAAGGGACTTACTAGGTTGTGACCTTGACAAGATGCTTATGAAAGATGGAGTATTTGGGTACACTGGCAACATAAAAGTATACTGGTCATAAATTAACTAGAAATGTGTCCAAAGGAAACTAATATGGTCTCACTTGATTCTGGGTCACAGTGATATTCATATTTCAAATAGGTAAATTCCTATATAGATAAGTAATACTTCTGTATATAACAAAAGTTTCACACATTTACAGTTCTTAAGCTATCAAATTATAATAATAATAATAATCAATCATAGCCATTGTGACCTTAACCTATAACCAAATGACCTCAAAATAAATACTGGTCATCTACTGAACATAGGCAATGTTCCTTCTGTGTTTCACAAAATAAGACTTCCTTCTTAATTTATTGAGCAGTATGTAAGTTTGTACAGGATCAACTCAAAAACAGTAATTTCTCCCTATTTTAAGAGGGAACACTTAAAAATCACTTTCATATCTGTTGATTTGAAACTTATCATAATTTTAATAACATTTATTTATTATCATACAGACATAGAAAATAGATGCCAATATATAACTCATCATCATTTGCAAGTATGGAGAATTGTCCAGCAAAGAAAAAATTAAAAGAGAACCTGTCAGAGTTAAACCATGTAATTCTGAGAGCAGTCTAGTGTAGCAGATGCCAGGAACCGATGGTATAACTGTATCAATTGTATCTCCCTCATTCTCACTTGCTGCAAGGATTGCCTCCCCTTGCTCCACAAACTCTTTCACGATCTATACAGAAAGTAATAAAATTATTGCAATTTTTTTAGATCAGGATTAGTATTATAAAGCCAATATTTTATACACTCAAAAATATTTTGTTGAGGTATAATCACAAAAACAGAGTCTGCAAAGTTGAAACAAGAGGGCCAGGATGGCCCTGAAATTGCTCACCTGTATATAGGCCCTTGGGGCGGGGCTAATTTAACCCAGGGGCTTTTTTTGTTCCATGCTAAATATCTAAGCTCTAAATCTTTAGGGTTTTTTAAAAAGAAGATTTTTTAAGTTTTTACTATATACATACAAGGAAAAGCAATACCCCCTGGGACGGGGCCAATTTTGACCCCAGGGCTTTTATTTGAACAAACTTGATAGACACTCACCAGAAGATGTTTCATGCCAAGTATCTAAGCTCTACCTCTTTGGGTTTTTTAAAAGAAGATATTTTAAGTTTTTTCTTTTGGTTGCCATGGCAACCAGAGTTCTGCATGGAATAAAATTCTTTGAACAATTTTATAAAGGTGACCACCAAAGGACCATATCTGTGAAGTTTGGATGAAATTAGCTTAGCAAGGAGATGTATTTAAAGTTAATGTTTACAGACGCCGGACAGACGCCGGACGAAAGTGATCTCAAAAGCTCACCATGTCACTTTCTGACAGGTGAGCTAAAAACAGAACAAAATGCTATGTCTTATTACTACATTAGTTTCAGCAAGGAATACTTAAAGCAATACAAAACGGTTTCTAGTTAAAGACTCACTGTAATTGTTATCAGATCAGCTTATTTAATTTTGAATACTATCATGCGATCAAAAGGCTCAAGCTTCAATTTTTCTGACCACATTTACATACAAAATAACAATTGCATATGAGAATCAACTAGTATTGCACTTTTTGCCACCTCACCTTCTATTCAATGATATGATATCAAAATGTATGTTTTTATTTTTGCTTGGGTTTAACATCACACCAACACAGTAGAGGTAATATTGTGACTTTCCAGCTTCACTGGAGGAGGAAGACCTCAGGTGCCCTTACATGCATTATTTCAGCTTAAACGGGAACCTGAGTAGAACTACTGGCATTTTGTAAGCTAGATGGATACCTTCCACGCATGAAAGAATCCAAAGTCCCTATTAGGATTCAAACCCACAGCAGTGAGTTAAAGGTTTTGAAAGATTCTAGTTCAAGATGGAACATGATTTCTGTCTGATTAATACATATATACTAACCTGGTATTTAAAGTGGGATATTTTAAAGTGCTCCTGACTGTATTTGGACAGAGCAGAAAAAGCTGCAGATTTCACCATTTCTACATCACACTGTGTTAGTAACCATAATCTACGGACACTCTCAGATAGGAAATCCTGAAGAAATAAAAATTGTTTATTAGTTTTAGATTTAATATCATTTTGTTACAGAATAATAACTTTATGAATGTTCATCAGTAATAACTTCCTTCTGTAATTGGTATAGTAGCCCAGTCTGCCAATCAGTATAGTTTGATAAGACTGTATACTATTGCAGGCTCCAATGAAACTTTTATGCATGCATGCTCACCCATATGCACAAACACCTACAGATGAATAGCTACATGCCACTGCATCGCTGATGCTGCGGTGGCATAAAAACATCTTTATGTCACAGTTGCAGCTGGATCAGGAGTGGAACTAGAGACCCTCAGAATACCATTATGCAGTTGTACTAGCTCACTTCAAGTTCATTGCTTATTTAGTAAAGAGGACACTAAAACATATTTATTACCTCATATTCAGCAGTTTTAACTTGCAAGCTGGGTACCAATGACAACAGTTCACATGTCTTTACCATCACAACAACTCTGAAAAAAGATACACTTTGATAAGCTTTAGAACATTTTAATTGTTAATGACTTTCTAATTTTTATAGAACAAAATCACATTGGAAGATTTGACTCTTAAGCAATTATTTAAATGATCAACTTTGCCTCACCATTATTTATAAACTGGATGATGTTCAACTGTTTGTTGCCATCCGTTATAAAGTGTGATGATGTCAAACTATTACAACTAGATTAAACGTGAATTATGATTGATACTGCATACACACTACCATACTATGTGCACTTACATTAAAATATTATGTGCACCAACACTACCATACAATGTGCACTTACATTAAGTTATTATGTGCACCAATACTACCATACAATGTGCACTTACATTAAGTTATTATGTGCACCAACACTACCATACAATGTGCACTTACATTAAGTATGTGCACCAACACTACCATACAATGTGCACTTACATTAAGTTATTATGTGCACCAATACTACCATACAATGTGCACTTACATTAAGTTATTATGTGCACCAACACTACCATACAATGTGCACTTACATTAAGTTATTATGTGCACCAACACTACCATACAATGTGCACTTACATTAAGTTATTATGTGCACCAACACTACCATACAATGTGCACTTACATTAAGTTATTATGTGCACCAATACTACCATACAATGTGCACTTACATTAAGTTATTATGTGCACCAATACTACCATACAATGGGCACTAACACTACCATACAATGTACACTAACAATGTGACATTACCATACCATGTGCACTAACTTTATGATATTATATGCACTATCACTACAACAGAATGTTGACTAATACTACTACCCAATATGCACTAACACTACAAAACAATATGAACAACTAACACTACAACACATGTGCACTAACACTACAGTATGCACTACTAACATCACAACAGAACATGCACGCACACCACAATACAATGTACACTACTAACACTACAACATATGCACTTAACTACAACACAATGTGCGCTTACACTACAATGTGCAATTCTTACACTAAACACTATGTTCCCTAACACTACAACACAATATGCACTAACATACCTTGTGTCAGTTATGAGTTGTGACTCTAACACTTTCCATGCAGACATTATGTCTATCATCTGAAATTAATTAAAACAATCTTTTATTTATTGTCAAACCAACACATCTCTGGGCTCATGCAATTTTTTATTTAAAAAATACAAATAGTTGTCATAATAGTGTCTTGAGTAACTTTTTGTCAAATAAAAAGATTAATGTTAAGACTGAGAAATTAAATTTCTATAAAAATTACCTTTAATGAGTGAAAATACACTGAAATAGTATCTACTTCATTTGCTTTAACCAAAGGGTTATGCCACCAGTATAAAGCCTGGTCAACTTGCACATCTGTGCAGTGTAACCTAAACTTAGGCTCTATACTTTTGGTAGCCTAATTTTTTGTATTTTGGTATTAAAATCACTTGAACTTTGAATGGATTGTTCCAAATTTAAAGCTAGCAAATCCATTACACAAATTTATAATTGTTATACAGTGTGATTCTAAACCTTATTGTGAGGTAAAAGCATTATTAAAATGCCTTGATTTTTAAAACAAGAGTCTGGATAATAAAGAATTTCCTATGTTCAAAAAAGGGCCATAGTTCTAACAAAATTCATGTTAGAGTTATGGGCCTTGGAAAGTGACCTCCTATTATGCTCTCAAATAAATGTGTGAAGTCTCAACTCATTCCCTTTAGTAGTTTTGGTCTTGCATGCAAAAACTTAACCAAAGTGTGAAGCAGACGCTAATGTTGGGTGAGTAGAGTAGATTTTTCTACTCTTGAACAGTTGAGCTAAAAAAACCTCCATGGAGTCCCTTTAATTTGCTACACTCATCTGGAGGCATACAGCATTAAACTAATTACTTTACAAAGACAATACTCTCATGTCTCTACTTTAAGCGACAATTATTCATAATTTCCTTTCAGATATTTAAGAGAAAATTATCTTATTTTACACCTACAGTTATTGAATAATTATTATATTATTCAAAATTTATTTCAGGACTTAAGAATAATTAGATTTACACAATAAAGTTGGCAGTTAAATATTAAGCAATGGTGCCATTATGTGTAGGCTGGTGTACCACACTATACTGGTGGTGGCAAAAGATTTATAGTTTCTGTTTCAGTGGTGGACAGGTTAAGGTTTTACTTAAAATTTTCCAATCTCCTACACAGTGATCTCCCCTTATCAGTAAACACACATTGTTTTTAACAATATTTTGTTAAAAATATTATTTAGCTTTTGAATTTATTTTTCATTATTTTGTATACTTCTGATAATTTTTTTCATAAAGTATAACAAATGTAGGTACGGACAATTTAAAAAAAAAAAAAAAAAAAAAAACAAAGAGAACAAGAGCAATCAGTGATCACATGTGTCGCCTCATGATGGACAATTTCATGTTGGGACAAATTTTGTGACAGATGGACAGATCACAACTAGACTTGGTACTGATCATTCCTGTAAAGTTTGGATAAAATTGCACCAGTAGTTTATGAGGAGTAGTCCAGACAAGCTTTTGTGTATCTGGCAACACACAGAAAAAAACACCTTTTTATCAAAGGGCCATAACTCAATCAAAAATCATTCAACCGGAAAACCCGTGCAATATGCGCAAGGACTTGAGCTACAGATCAATCCTGTAAAGTTTCATTGAAATTGCATTAGTGGTATAAGAGAAGTAGTCCGGACAAACTTTAAAAAAAAAAAAAAATATTAAAGGGCCATAACTCTGACAAAAATCATTGAACCGGAAAATGCTGACAATATGCACAACTAGACTTGGTACTGATTATTCCTGTAAAGTTTGGATGAAATTGCACCAGTAGTTTATGAGGAGTAGTCCGGACAAGCTTTTGTGTATCTGGCAACACACAGAAAAAAACACCTTTTTATCAAAGGGCCATAATTCGGCCAAAAATCATTCAACTGGAAAACCCCTGCAATATGCGCAAGGACTTGAGCTACAGATCAATCCTGTAAAGTTTCATTGAAATTGCATTAGTGGTATAAGAGAAGTAGTCTGGACAAACTTTAAAATTAAAAATTATTAAAGGGCCATAACTCTGACAAAAATCATTGAACTGGAAAATGCTGACAAAATGCACAACTAGACTTGGTACTGATCATTCCTGTAAAGTTTGGATGAAATTGCACCCGTAGTTTATGAGGAGTAGTCCGGACAAGTTTTGTGACGGACGGACAGACGGACGGACGGACAGACGGACGGACAGACGACGGAGAAGTGATCCCTATATGTCGCCACTACTCCGTAGAGGCGACACAAAAATGAAGTCAGATTTTCTTTGTAACAGTCTTAAAACTAAGTAACAAGACATTAATATACAGTCAAACGTGTATTAAGCGACCGGGCAAGGGAAACACCAAAAACGGTCGCTTAATGAAACGGTCTCTTAAGACAGTCAGCATGATATAAAAGTCAAAATTTATAAATGACATCTTTTTTATTCGATGGGATTGTTTTTCAACTTCATTTTTATATAAATGTTGAATAATAAGTACGCTCCGACAATCTAAACGGATGCAAATGTAAAAATAACGTTCTGATATTTATTGACAAAACAGTTTTGATCCATTACGTACATGTTTGACATTTTTTCCAGAATTTTTTAACTTCTCCGTTGTTTTTCCTTGTCTCCAACACGAAAACCATATTAGTGAAGATGTTTTCTGTTGTGCATTTTTTCATTTGAAATAAACAAACTACATCTATTTGTTACGATTAATTTAATGGCTGATCAAGTTCAAGGTCAATTCAATGCAGTCTAAATGTCAACAAGCGAAGCGTATACACCATCTCAGTATGGGCGGAGCATTGCATTGTTTATCCGATATTATTGGATAATACACGTCACGCGTATACTTAACTTCATTTGCATACGCTAAAACGGTATGGGAAATAGAGTTTTTCACACGTTTATTGTTGTGTTTTGATTGCTGACACTTGTGAAATAACGAGGTGGCGTTCTCTAAAAACACAATTACTTGACAGGTAAAAGTGGTTGTTTAATGAAAAGATTAATGTCAATTTGGTGACTAATTAGCGGTCGCTGGTCGCGTTGAGGAAAAGTCGCTTAATACATTAAAGATACAGAGAGAAAATGATCGGGGGGAATTTAAAGTGGTCGTTTAAGACAAAAGTCGCTTAATACACGTGGTCGCATGGGCAAGTTAGACTGTATTTCTTTTCAATTCAAGGATCTAATGAAATATTTTTATAAAATTTTATAAAAATTTTCAAGAGTCAAATTATATTAGTTTCATAATGTGAAAGAGTTTTTTACATAGAATGTCTCTGTTATTTAACACACATGAATATTATATGTAAACAGAATAAAATGTTTTGGAACAAGATGATGGCAATTTGTTCTGTAGGTAAATATTGTCAAACTCTAATGGCTGTAGATGATAATGTCACCTAAGTGCAATAACTGGTTAACTCCTATTAAATTTAAAATAAGGGGATGATATGGCAAAGGTTAAAGCAAAGAAACAAACATGTGGGTAGAACATACAAAAACAATCTTTCCTTCATCTATTTCTTAACAAGTGTGTGTATGGGGTGGGGAGAATCTTTTTTTTTAAATAATAAATACAAACCTCCGCCTCACAGACATAGTACAGTGCCTCCAGACAGAGAGCTGCTACAGGTGAACTGCTCAAATCTCTACTGGAAGTCAACAGTTCCGAGAGAGGTCCTAACATCTCCGCACCATGCTGCTCTGGCCTAAAATAGGAATAATCACATTAATAAGGCACACAATATACATGTAGTGTTCTTTAACAAATGATTTCAAAGGAAAACAATACTTTAACCTGGCAATGTGTCTATAGGAAGTCTTAAGAATTATTTTTATTTGTTAACACCCCAGTCAATGTACAATTAATATATTTAGAAAGGTCTAGCATTAGACACTAGTTACTTATGAAAATTACCTCAAAATGGGTCAACCTTATACAGATACAGCCCATATTCTGTTTATAATGTGGTGGAAATATAGTAATGAATATGTAATGTAATTATAATTTACATAAAACATGCACGAGTATTACTATTACTATGAGGACTCTGCAGGAATTTTTTATACAGTGGTGATCCGGACATGTGTGCTAATTTGCATAAGCAGCGTCATCTATTAACATGGCAGATTGACATGGGTGTTATTGTCCTAAACTTTTGACTCATGTATACTTTAAAACATGAGCACCAAATGTGGTGTTAATGCTTCTCTGTTAAAAATTCTGTTTAAAATGGGCATAACACTAAAAATATAGCTTTCAGAATTATGCCTTATGCTCCTTTGTCTAACAACTGCACCTTGTCATGTCTAAGTTTCATGATGATAACTTCAAATATGTTTGAATGATGGGCTACATTAAAATTTTGAATGACGACATAAGCACAACAACAAAGAAGAGGATGACACAGCAGCAACCATAATAGCTCAAATTTTCTTCGAAACAGAATAGCTAATTATGATACAACAGTTAAGCAACATTAAACAAAACAGGCGCAAAGGCTATCAATAACAAACTTTTATAAATATTGTAAGTTAAACAAGAATGTCGAACGACACATATACCCCCCTTTCTAGCCATTGACTCACATAATTGGTAATTTTATTACAGAAACTTGCCAAAAATGGGTACATGGAAGTGTTAAATTATGGAAAAATCAACGGAAACCATTTTGACATTTAAGGTCCATGTGACATTGACCTTTGACCTAGTGACCCCAAAATCAATAGGGGTCATCTACTAGTTATGACCAATAACTGTGTGAAATATGAAGACTTTGTGATACATACTTTTTAAGATAATCAGCGGAAACCATTTTGACATTTAAGGTCCCTGTGACCTTGACCTTTGACCTAGTGACCCCAAAATCAATAGGGGTCATCTACTAGTTATGACCAATCACTATGTGAAATATGAAGACTTTGTGATAAATACTTTTCAAGATAATCAGTGGAAACCATATGGTCTACCGACGGACAGACGGACGGACCGACAGACAGACCGACATTAGCAAAACAATATACCCCCTCTTCTTCGAAGGGGGGCATAAAAAGGACATAACTCCTGAAACAAGTATTTCAAATGATCTATTATTACAATAGCTTATTCATCAAATTTTCAACATTCAGGGTGATAATCATCTTCCATGTTCTAAATCCAGTATAACAGCATTAACAAGCATATGTTTGCTTTTTTTCTATAGAAAGAAAAAAATCATTTATTTACGTGACATAACATGCCTTTAAGAATTTTCAATTTTATAGTTTTAGGCCTTTGGACCTCAACGGATCTTCTTGAAAATGTTTTACTCAACTTTTTGTCGTAAATTTGTTACTGATCTGGAGGAATATCACATTAACAGATCAAAAGCAAATTTAAATATTTAAATTGAATTTCCACTTCTATTTTTTCAAAAAGGCTTTTTCATAGTGCAATACAATGACTGCAAACAATCACAAAATTAAGAGAAAACAGTGACGAAAATTAAAAACAAATAAAATTTGTTAAAATTTTAAACAAAGGCATGGAAAAAATGTATCAAACATTGTTATTTCTTCATTTTGTCCGATCATCTTTTCATATTATTAAGAAATTGGATAATATTTTTCTTTGTGACAGTAAAACAAAATGATTGACAGAAAAATGTTTGACAAAAAATACAAATTTCAATTACAATTTCTCCACAAATGAAAGTCTACTTTTGTATCCCACATGATTAATCAGAGGCAGGAGATGGACGACTTAAAATCCAAATGTCCCAGATCAATTTTTGTACAAAAAAAAAAACAACAAGAACCGGTTGATGCTCCCCGAGAAGGTTCTGGACACAGGAAAGTATAAAAAAAATTAACAAAGGGCAAAAACTCCAAAATTAGGCAAAGCGGAGTTATGTTTTTTTGCACTGCACTTCTATTCAATGAGATCTATCTATCTATAAAGTTTCCTGATGATATCAGAGTTATGTCCCGGGTAAAATTCAAAGTGTAAAAATGAACAAAGGGCAATAACTCCAAAATTACACAAGGCTTTGTTTAGGTTCTTTAAGCATTGCAGTTCTATCCAATTATATCTAGCTACCTACGAAGTTACGGTTCTTGTGCACTGCACACCTACTCAATGAGATCTATCTACCTACAAAGTTTCATGTTGATACCTCTTATACTTTTAGAGTTATGTCCCAGACAAATTTCAAAGTGTAAAATAAACAAAGGGGGATAATTCAAAAATTTGGCAAGGCAGAGTTAAGGTTCTTGTGCACTGCACACTTACTCAATGAGATCTATTTACCTACAAAGTTTCATGTTGATACCTCTTATACTTTTAGAGTTATGTCCCGAGGTATAAGGGCTGAAAGGAGTGATGGTTCTATAGCATTGCACTTTCTCTCACTGGTCTACATCACGGTGTGATGTTTTAATCAATTTTTTTCAATACTTTTTAAGTCATTCTTTGGACCAGAATGTGACAGAAAAGTCAAAGGAATGGAAGCAATGGGCCAATCCTTTTTTTTCACTTTCTTTTGTTGTAGAAAGAGCAAAGGCTCCTTAATTCTATTGTTAGCAAATAAACCTCATTATGACCTTTAGTTCTGTTTACACAAATCTGGCCCTCAATTACTTTTTACATTCCTGGCTGCTTTCCCCTCACACTTTGCTAACAGAAAACAAGAGGTCGCTCACCTGTATATAGGCCCCCCCCCCAACCCCCAATGTTGCAGGGACAATTTAACCCAAGGGCTTTTATTTGCACAAACTTGGTAGACACCCATAAGAAGATGTTTCTTGCTAAACATCTAAGCTCTAGCTCATTGGGCTTTTTATAAGAAGATTTTTCTTAAGTTTTTACAATACACATATAGTTAAAAACAATGACACCACTGGGGCCGGGCCAGTTTTGACCCCAGGGCTTTTATTTGAACAAACTTTGTAGACACTTACTAGAAGATGTTTCATGCTTAATATCTAAACTCTAGCTATTTGGGTTTTTTCAAAGAAGATTTTAAGTTTTTGCTATACACATATAAAGTAAATCAATGATCCCTGGGGCACGGCCAATTTTGACCCCAGGTCTTTTATTTGAACAAACTTGGTAGACACCTATTAGAACATGTTTGATGCTAATTATCTTAGCCATAGCTCTTTGAGTACTTTAAAAGAAGATTTTTTAAGTTTTTGCTATACACATATAAGGAAAATCAATGACCCCCTGGGCGGTGCCAATTTTGACCCTAGGGCTTTTATTTGAACAAACTTGGTAGACACCTATTAGAACATGTTTGATGCTAAATATCTTAGCCATAGCTCTTTGAGTTCTTTAAAAGAAGATTTTTTAAGTTTTTACAATATGCATATAGGGAAAATCAATGACCCCCCAGGGCGGCGCCAATTTTGACCCCAGGGCTTTTATTTGAACAAACTTGGTAGACACTTATTAGAACATGTTTCATGCTAAATATCTTAGCTCTAACTCTTTTGGTTCTTTAAAAGAAGATTTTTTAAGTTTTTACTATATGCATATAGGGAAAATCAATGACCCCCTGGGGCGGTGCCAATTTTGACCCCAGGGCTTTTATTTGAACAAACTTGGTAGACACCTATTAGAACATGTTTGATGCTCAATATCTTAGCCATAGCTCTTTGAGTTCTTTAAAAGAAGATTTTTTAAGTTTTTACTATATGCATATAGGGAAAATCAATGACCCCCCGGGGCGGGGCCAATTTTGACCCCAGGGCTTTTATTTGAACAAACTTGGTAGACACCCATTAGAACATGTTTCATGCTAAATATCTTAGCTCTAGCTCTTTGGGTTCTTTAAAAGAAGATTTTTTTTAAGTTTTTACTATACACATATAGTTAAAAACAATGACACCCCGGGGCGGGGCCAATTTTGACCCCAGGGCTTTTATTTAAACAAACTTGGTAGACACTCACTAGAAGATGTTTCATGCCAAATATCTAAGCTCTAGCTCTTATGGTTTTTTAAAAGAATATATTTAAAGTTTTTTCTTTCGGTTGCCATGGCAACCAGAGTTCTGCATGGAATTAAATTCTTTGAACAATTTTTAAAGGTGACCACCAAAGGAACATTCCTGTGAAGTTTGGATGAAATTGGCTTAGTGGTTTATGAGGAGATGTCATTTAAAGTAAAAGTTTACGGACGAACGGACGCCGGACGGACGCCGGACGAAAAGCGATCACAAAAGCTCACCCTGTCACTTTGTGACAGATGAGCTAAAAACTGGTCTAACAAACAAGGGCAAATTAATTAATCTTTATACTCTACCTTAATCTACATATCTCTTTTATTGCCATTGCCTTTGCCAAGGTCACATCATCGATCACAGACCCTATTTTCATACTTCCTTTTTCACTTTCTGTTATTGCCTTTAAAATATGAGGGAAACATCGATCTTGCAAGGCCCACAATTCCGTCAAAAGCTTAATCGACAAACTCTTCATTTTTGGAGACTGGGCCAAATTCAAAATGGTCTTCAGGACAGGTGCCACATTGAACTGAAATTAACAATAAAATACATTAACTTGTATGATAGGGTAGTGTTAGTGTTTTAATGAAACCAGCGTGAAACTGAAACTGCCAAGCATGTGCAGGAATGTCCAACTGTTAATGGCAATACACTGCTATACCCTGATATCGTAAGGGGCTTTTATGGTAAGGATTTTGCTCTTTTTCGTAAAATTACTCTTTTATTTTATATATTTACATAAGACCACTGCAATCAATACTTGAATAGTGCAAATATCTCTATAACTTGGTTATCCATGGTCTACTTGATTATTTATAACCCATCGTAATACATTACAGAATAAATTCTCAAGCTTTGACCAGCGGAGACTTATTTTATCTGATCATTCAAACATCCCATTTCCTTAGGGCCTATCTCAATCATTGAAGACAACAGTTTCAGTATTTCCAGTCTGCAATCAGATCCTAAAGGTGACATCAACACTTTATCTACTCTGACCAACTTAACAGGATCAATTCTGGCATCTTGTATATATATTGGGGAGATGTCATTTTATTGATTTTCCTCAGTCTTTAGACACCAAGCCGGATGAGATAAGTCGACTGTCCTGATTTATCCTGAATAATCACATACTAATTAATAATTGACAAAGAAATAATCTTCATTATAAATTATACTTATCAATGAGTGACAAAGTTAAAATCTTAATTATTAACTAAGACAATATTTCAACTAAATACACTTTTGAAGATATTTCTATACGAAACAAATTTTATGTGTGATTTCTTTAACATATAAATAATTAGGCAGGCACAAGTGTGCATCTGAGTGAAAGCCACCAACCAGTAATCTAGCTGGACAGCTTTCTCATGAAACAATGAAATGTTCATAAACTTACCTTGTGAGTTGCAAGTTTTGGAAGTGCATTCAATACATGAAGATTTACTTTAGGACAGCAGCTCTTTCCTATAACATACAGGTAAACAGGTAGCAGGTACAAACCCTGAAATTACAATTTACAGTTCAATATATATCAACTCTAAGCCTCCTGGCATCAATAGATGTTACCAAGGCAACCAGTGCAGACCAAAATCAGCTAGCAAATCTGTGCCCTCTAATCATGGCATTCTTTGCTATTCAGTGAGTTTATTCTTTGATATTTCCCCAGGAAAGATAAAATGGATTTATCCAGATTGAAAGATATTTAGAGAGTTGGTGTAAAGTTAAATTTAAAAGGTTGTAAAGTAAAGTAAACTGGCTTAGAATACTGTAAACATAAAAAAACAAAACAAAAAAAAACTGTACATACATGGTGCTTTCATTTTTTTCTGTTTTAATATAATATTTTAGATCTGTGGTATTTGATGCAAGTTAATTACATATGAAAATAGAATAAATCATTTCATTACAACTTTTTAGCATTATTCTTTCAATTTAGGTACTTTTATTCATATTTTTATCACAGAACAATAAAGATATAAAATCAGTTATAGATATTCAAAATATAAGCTTCATAATCTGATGAAAATTAATTCTACATTTGTATTAATTCAAAAAGTGTTTCAAAAATCCATCAGAAAAACAACAAAAACATGTGTTGAAAATTGTCCAAGATAAGTGGAATTATTTGGACTTTGGAAAACCAAATGATATTCCATGTAGGTACCATGGTATATACTTCTTTTTCCAGCAAACTAAAGCAAGAAAAAAAGTTTTATTTTTAGTGGTATGTCATAATGAACTGTTTTCATTTTTTACTTTCAAGTACACCAGGCCATAAATATGTTCAAGTCAATGACTTATGACAATAACATCATAACATCTACGTCAATCTGCCTTCTTTTGTAGGTGGTGCCTCATATGCAAATTATCACACGTTCAGATTACCACCACGCTTGTGGTAATAGCTGAGACTACTCTTATCATGCTTACAGGTTGAAATATTATATCTGATATTTTTCTTTGTCGCCCTTGTGTTGCTAACAGACACATATCCTCACCTGTGACGGGTCTGATTTCACAACATCAGACAATCTGTCTATGACAAGCAGACTGATCTCCTCATCTGGGAACTTTATCAGGACAGATACCAGTAAATTTGTCAAACATGGTGACACAGTCTCCTTCCTACAATAATAAACAAAATAATATAGTAAAATATATTCAAATTCAATACTGGAAGCAGTCTGTTACTAACCAGCAGACTTGGCTTGTCTGACAGGAAATTCAATTAAACACACATACAGAATGAGAAAAAAGAAATTTTGGCCAATTTACTTTATCTTTATAGCTTGCAAATGAAGTTTCGTGAAAAAGAATAGTACAACATTGACTTCATCTACATCTTAAATGATGCACAAGATCTTCTTGACCAAATGCTCACGGTTAGATTATAGAATAACCGGTAGCAGACAAAATTCCCATGTGAGACTAAAATCTTAACTAAATACTTCTTCATTGCGAAAAAAGAACTTTAGAGGACAAAATCCCCTTATCAAATTAAAACAGATAAGTTAAAGCCTCTTGGTAGATGCCCCTGTTATACATTGAGAAAAAAACACATTTTAACTTTCAAACTAAAAACAACTTTTTAACATTAAGACAAAAACCTCCTTTAAACAGATAAAAGCCACATTTTAACATTTAGATAAAAAACATATTTTAACATTCGGATAGAAACAATATTTAAACATTCAGATAAAAACCATATTTAAACATTTAGATAAAAGCCACATTTTAACATTCAGATAAAAGCCACATTTTAACATTCAGATAAAAACCACATTTAAACATTCAGATAAAAGCCACATTTTAACATCTAGATAAAAGTTACATTTTAACATTGAGCCACATTAAACATTTTGTATAAATGCCGCATTTTAACATTTGAATAAAAGTCACATTTTAACATTCAGATAAAAGCCACATTTAGCATTTGGATAAAAGCCACATTTATTATTTGGATAAAAGCCACATTTTAACATTTGCATAAAAGTCACATTTTTACATTCAGATAAAAGCCACATTTAGCATTCGGATAAAAACCACATTTTAACAGTCAGATAAAAGCCACATTTTATCAGTCAGATAAAACCCACATCTTAACTTTCAGATAAAAGCCCCATTTTATCAGTCAGATAAAAGCCACATTTTAACATTCAGATCAAAACAACATTTTAACATTTGGATAAAAACCACATTTCAACATTCAGATAAAAGCCACATTTTAACATTCAGATACAAGAGGGCCATGATGGCCCTGAGATCGCTCACCTGTATATAGGCCCCCCGAGCGGGGCCAGTTTAAACCCCAGGGCTTTTATTTGAACAAACTTGGAAGACACCCATAAGAAGATGTTTCATGATGTTAAATTTTTACTACACACATATAATGAAAAACAATGATCTGCCCCCTCCCCCAACCCCGGCAGGGCCAATTTTAACCCAAGGGCTTTTATTTGAACAAACTTGATAGACACCCATAAGAAGATGTTTCATGCTAAACATCTAAGCTGTAGCTCATTTGGTTTTTTAAAAGAAGATTTTTTAAGTTTTTACTATACACATATAGTTAAAAACAACGACACCCCTGGGGCGGGGCCAGTTTTGACCCAAGGGCTTTTATTTGAACAAACTTTGTAGACACTTACTAGAACATGTTTCATGCTTAATATCTAAACTCTAGCTATTTAGGTTGTCAAAGAAGATTTTTAAGTTTTTGCTATACACATATAAGGAAAATCAATGACCCCCGGGGCAGGGCCAGTTTTGACCCCAGGGCTTTTATCTGAACAAACTTTGTAGACACTCACTAGAAGATGTTTCATGCTTAATATCTTAACTCTAGCTATTTCGGTTTTTTCAAAGAAGATTTTTTTAAGTTTTTGCTATACATATATTTAAGGAAAATCAATGACCCCCGGGGCGGGGCCAATTTTGACCCCAGGGCTTTTATTTGAACAAACTTGGTAGAAACCCATTTGAACATGTTTCATGCTAAATATCTTAGCTCTAGCTCTTTGAGTTCTTTAAAAGAAGATTTTTAAGTTTCTACTATATGCATAGAGGGAAAATCAATGACCCCCAGGGGCAGGGCCAATTTTGACCCCAGGGCTTTTATTTGAACAAACTTGGTAGACACTCTTTAGAAGATGTTTCATGCTAAATATCTTAGCTCTAGCTCTTTTGGTTCTTTAAAAGAAGATTTTTTAGGTTTTTACTATATGCATATAGGGAAAATCAATGACCCCCCGGGGCGGGGCCAATTTTGACCCCAGGGCTTTTATTTGAACAAACTTTGTAGACACTCACTAGAAGATGTTTCATGCAAAATATCTAAGCTCTAGCTCCTTGGGCTTTTTAAAAGAAGATATTTAAAGTTTTTTCTTTCGGTTGCCATGGCAACCAGAGTTCTGCATGGAATTAAATTCTTAATTTTTAAAGGTGACCACCAAAGGAACATTCCTGTGAAATTTGGATGAAATTGGCTTAGTGGTTTATGAGGAGATGTCATTAAAAGTAAAAGTAAAAGTTTACGGACGGATGGACGGCCGGACGCCGGATGAAAAGTGATCACAAAAGCTCACCCTGTCACTTTATGACAGGTCAGCTAAAAAGCCACATTTCAACAGTCAGATAAAAGCCACATTTCAACATTCAGATAAAAGCAACATTTTAACATTTGGATAAAAACCACATTTCAACATTCAGATAAAAGCCACATTTTAACATTCAGATAAAAGCCACATTTAAACAGTCAGATAAAAACCACATTTAAACATTCAGATAAAAGCCTCATTTTATCATCTAGATAAAAAGTCACATTTTAACATTGAGCAACATTAAACATTTTGGATAAATGCCGCATTTTAACATTTGAATAAAAGTCACATTTTAAGATTCAGATAAAAGCCACATTTAGCATTTGGATAAAAGCCACATTTTAACAGTCAGATAAAAGCCACATTTTAACAGTCAGATAAAAGTCACATTGTAACATTCAGATAAAAGCCACATTTAGCATTTGGATAAAAGCCACATTTTAACATTTGGATAAAAGCCACATTTTAACATTCAGATAAAAGCCACATTTTAACATTTGGATAAAAGTCACATTTTAACATTCAGATAAAAGCCACATTTAGCATTCGGATAAAAGCCACATTTTAACAGTCAGATAAAAGCCACATTTTAACAGTCAGATAAAAGCCACATTTTAACAGTCAGATAAAAGCCACATTTTAACAGTCAGATAAAAGTCACATTGTAACATTCAGATAAAAGCCACATTTAGCATTTGGATAAAAGCCACATTTTAACATTTGGATAAAAGCCACATTTTAACATTCAGATAAAAGCCACATTTTAACATTTGGATAAAAGTCACATTTTAACATTCAGATAAAAGCCACATTTAGCTTTCGGATAAAAGCCACATTTTAACAGTCAGATAAAAGTCACATTGTAACATTCAGATAAAAGCCACATTTAACATTTGGATAAAAGCCACATGTTATAAAATATCTTGAAAAATTCTTGAACCATCACATATCATAATATATCCTAATTTATCTTGAAACATTGTATGTTTAGAATAATAATAATATATCTATTTGTACATACCTTGCTAAGTGCTTCTGTATTGTAAAGAGCCATGTTTCCAGAAAAGAGGAATTTCTGGAGAAAGAACGAGCCAGTTGCACAAATGCACGTGTCATGTAGCCATTACTAGACAACAAGTTTGTATTCAGTTCTTCTCTTACATCCTGGGATAAAACATTAAAACAAATTATAATATATATTATAAATTGTATATAACTGATGACAAAGCTTCAATACCCCAACTGTTTGTGTTCATACACTGTATATTTAATTCAAATACATACATATTAAATAGTACATATTAAACAAGAAAATATCAATAAATGGGCATGTAAAAATGTAGAAGTGTGTCCATCCATCATTTCACAATTTTGTCTGTCTTTGAGGACAGGAAAACATGACAGTGAGGGGCAAATTTATGTACATCCCACCAAGAAGTGGGGACATACAAATATTTATATTACATAAATTAATTCTATTAACCAAAATAAACTTATTTATTTATTTATTTATATATATTGGGTTTCACATGGACACAGTATAGGTCATTTGGCCACGTTCCAGCTTTACTTGTGGAGGAAGACCTCAGGGGCCCTTCCGTGCATTATTTCAGGCACGAACGAGTGGTCAACGACCTTAACCACTTGGCCACGGACACCCCAAAAATAAACTTAAACGAGTATACACTTAGCAATATACATTAACAACCTTGTTCAATATGAATCAGAAATTGTTAAGATAATGATTTATTACTCATTGAAATGTAACATAAATATGCCACCAGCATGCTACTGTTTTACCAGTACAGAGACAGGAAAAAGCACATCTATGCAGTCTAAGCTCTGTAATGTAGCATACTCAGTTTTGATTATTTTGACATTAAAACCCTTCCAACTTAAAACAAACTGTTCCAATCACAAAGAAAGACTACCGGTAATTCATTACTTAAATATAGCAATGTAGTATGGTCATAGTTAAGTGCTTTCAATATGAATATCAAAATGTCAACAGACCTAAGTTCTTTCAAACATATCATATCAAAAATTTCATTGACAGTCTTTTTGTGATATATAATATAATACCATTTTAAAATCCATAATTTCTAATTGGCTACAAGTTGATTATTCTGTAATAAAGTTGCAACAACAATATAAATGTCACAAATATACAAAAAAATCATGCAGCCTGGAGATTTTGAACCTTCTTTTCAACTCTCAATATAACTAAAACATTTTCATGATTAAATTGCTACTTGAATAATTTCATTAAAATCAAACTGCAAAACTCAGCTGCTGACACAAGAACAATACAAGAATAAAGATATTTTCATTTGGTTGCCACAAGATTGACAGGCAAACAATAGACACAGAAGCTGCTTCTTGCAAATTAAAATAATGTCAATAAAATTTCATCACTCGCACATACAACTAAAATACCGGAATGTAAAATTAATTCTATCATACAAATGAAATTCTATCAAGATGATTAAGTCATGAAATATTAAACAAGAGAGCCATGATGGGCCTAGACCACTCACCTGAGATCTATTGCCAAAAATTCAATGCAAAAAAAAAACTACAATGTAACAAGAGGGCCATGATGGCCCTGAGGTCGCTCACCTGTATATAGGCCCCCCAACCCCCACCGCCAACGTTGCAGGGCCAATTTAACCCAAGGGCTTTTATTTGCACAAACTTGGTAGACACCCATAAGAAGATGTTTCATGCTAAACATCTAAGCTCTAGCTCATTGGGCTTTTTAAAAGAAGATTTTTTTTTAAGTTTTTACTATACACATATAGTTAAAAAAAATGACACCCCTGGGGCCGGGACAGTTTTGACCCCAGGGCTTTTATTTGAACAAACTTTGTAGACACTTACTAGAAGATGTTTCATGCTTAATATCTAAACTCTAGCTATTTGGGTTTTTTCAAGAAGATTTTAAGTTTTTGCTATACACATATAAAAAAAATCAATGACCCCCGGGGCGGGGCCAATTTTGACCCCAGGTCTTTTATTTGAACAAACTTGGTAGACACTCACTAAAAGATGTTTCATGCTTAATATATGAACTCTAGCTATTTGGGTTTTTTCAAAGAAGATTTTTTAAGTTTTTGCTATACACATATAAGGAAAATCAATGACCCCCGGGGCGGTGCCAATTTTGACCCCAGGGCTTTTATTTGAACAAATTTGGTAGACACCCATTAGAACATGTTTCATGCTAAATATCTTAGCCATAGCTCTTTGAGTTCTTTAAAAGAAGATTTTTTAAGTTTTTACTATATGCATAGAGGGAAAATCAATGACCCCCTGGGGCGGGGCCAATTTTGACCCCAGGGCTTTTATTTGAACAAACTTGGTAGACACTTATTAGAACATGTTTCATGCTAAATATCTTAGCTCTAGCTCTTTGGGTTCTTTAAAAAAAGATTTTTTAAGTTTTTACTATATGCATATAGGGAAAATCAATGACCCCCTGGGGTGGGCCAATTTTGACCCCAGGGCTTTTATTTGAACAAACTTGGTAGACACCTATTAGAACATGTTTGATGTTCAATATCTTAGCCATAGCTCTTTGAGTTCTTTAAAAGAAGATTTTTTAAGTTTTTACTATATGCATTTAGGGAAAATCAATGACCCCCCGGGGCGGGGCCAATTTTGACCCCAGGGCTTTTATTTGAACAAACTTGGTAGACACCCATTAGAACATGTTTCATGCTAAATATCTTAGCTCTAGCTCTTTGGGTTCTTTTAAAGAAGATTTTTTAAGTTTTTACTATATGCATATAGGGAAAATCAATGACCCCCCGGGGCGGGGCCAATTTTGACCCCAGGGCTTTTATTTGAACAAACTTGGTAGACACTCACTAGAAGATGTTTCATGCCAAATATCTAAGCTCTAGCTCTTATGGTTTTTTAAAAGAAGATATTTAAAGTTTTTTCTTTCGGTTGCCATGGCAACCAGAGTTCTGCATGGAATTAAATTCTTTGAACAATTTTTAAAGGTGACCACCAAAGGAACATTCCTGTGAAGTTTGGATGAAATTGGCTTAGTGGTTTATGAGGAGATGTCATTTAAAGTAAAAGTTTACGGACGGACGACGGACGGACGATGGATGGACGCACGGACGCCAGACGAAAAGCGATCACAAAAGCTCACCCTGTCACTTTGTGACAGGTGAGCTAAAAAGTAGGTCATCAAGTCACAAAGGAGCATGTCTTGGTTGACCTTGAATTTTGACCTACTAACCCCCAAGGGTCATCAACTGGCAAAATGGGCCACTTACTGGCCATGGGCAATGTCCCTTCCAAGTTACATAAACCTTTAATCATTAATTTGACGAGGGAGAGCTGATGACTGTATGTTGGACAAAAATAATTTATGCTTGGGGATATAAAAAAATAGAAAAACACAGAAACCCTCAAAAAACCACCCAAAATAAATTATGCAGGCTAGGTTTTATTGATTTTCCTATTGAGTTTCATCAAGATCTACCCATCATTTTCAAAGGATGATATTGCTAAAAGCTTATATCTATTTCAAGCTGTTCTGTTCATAAAACTGTATCTATTTTAGCTACTTTCATACAGCGCCATCTTAGGATCATCCCTTCTGAACTTCATTAAAATGCACTCAGCGATTGAAGAAAACATGTCTGTCATATAGTGGTATCCTTTCACAACGGAGGACATTAACAATTTAAGTAAAGGGCCATCTTAAACTAATTCCTATACAGATTCATTAAAAACTGTCAAGGAGTTCTGTAGTAAATGTCAATAAAAGGCACATTTTACAACAAAACAAGGCATCCAATCAAAATTTCCCACTTTCAAGCATGTGCACAGGTAAGCTAAAAACAAAGTTTGCACTGAAGAAACATTTTGCAAATATTTTTTTCTAACATTGACTTAATTTGTAATTTTCCTCTTTGATTTAATCTTAAGATGGCAAAAAAACCTTTGCACACAAAAATAATTTTGTCTTTTCACAAAAAATATTTTATGAGAAAATCACTGTCATTGGCTGAAATCATTTTTTGTGTGCAATCCAACGTTCAATGCTCGAAAGTGAATTCACCCTGAAAGTGATGAATTCATGTGAAAAGCTTTATCAGCGGTTAAAAAGTATGGAGTAGACACAAAATGTAGACTTTTTAACACTTGACCTTTAAGTGTGACCTTGGGGGTTGCAACCCAATATTTGCGCTCTGCATATTGTCTCATAAAGGTGATCATTTGTGCCAAGTAATTTCAAAATATTTTCAGCGGTTTAAGTTATGGAGAGGACAAAAAGTGTTTTGGACTGACAGTTATATGTTTATACAGACAGACAGACATCCATCTTAACGAGAGGACACATATTGGGTACTTCTTTTGATTAAAAGTACCCAGTAAGACCATAGAAGTACCTAACAATACTGACGGAATGAATAGAATATACTGTTACCTATTGTTTTTGGTAACCAACAAGTGTCCATTCATTCGCCCATACGGACGGACAGATGGAGGCCATTCCTATAATCCTCTCCTTTTTTTGCGGAAGGGGATTAAAAAAGTGAAAAAAATGTCCAGCTTGCAATACACAAGTATTTTGTTGAGATTTAGTCCATCTCACTGGCCCTGCATTTCAGGAATTTAGAAATCCAAAAGCCAAAGTTCCTGCTATTCCCTGGGTATGTGGGTCAGAGAAATACAACTGACTGATGCATTATGGAGCTTACCATCTGAACATATGCTTACTTGAGATGAATTCATTTGGTATTTCTCCAGCAGACGTATGACATCAGAAGCCAGTGATGTCAGCAGTTTATGCTGTGTTGTCATGGTAGCAGTCTGTTGGGTTGCTATGACATTAATGGCTGCCATTGACACCAGTCCAGCACAGAGAGGGTTTAAAATTCCATGTCCATTCTCCAAAACAGCTTTCACTGTCAAAAGTCAAAACATTAATACAAAATAAAAACAGTACTTTGAGCACTGCAATACAGTATAACCTTTATAGAGCAACACCATTTAAGAGGAAAATATCTTGATTGTTGTTAAGAGATGTTGCTCTTCAGAAGTTAAAGCTATTGTGAAGTCTTACTTTGAGAAAAATTTAAACAGTTATTATAAAGAGGTAGTCTCTCTGCAAAGGGCCACTCTACAATGGTTGCACTTTATTTGTATGTTTGAAATTGACTTACTTTTTATGAAAAAATTATACAAGCACTATTTTATGGAATTTTTACTGTTATTTATTTAAAGGCATTGAATAAATTGGTCTTAACTATTTTATACCAGAATGAAACAATCATAAATGTTTATATATTTTCATATTATAAAACAACCATATCACACGACCTCATTTAAGTTCAGTTTAATACGATTCAGTATAAAAAGGCAAAAAAGCCAAAAAGGCCAAAAGAAATACCCACCTATCTTTAGTAGAAGAATTTTATCATCATTAGATGCCTGCAGAATAAGCTGGGCAAGAGTACAAATATTCACATCCGTACATAGTACCTGGAAAATGTAACAAAATATTCACATCTGTACATAGTACCTGGAAAATGTAACAAAATGATCTTTATCTGTACATAGTACCTGGGAAATATAACAAAATGATCTTTATCTGTACATAGTACCTGGAAAATGTAACAAAATATTCACATCTGTACATAGTACCTGGAAAATGTAACAAAATGATCTTTATCTGTACATAGTACCTGGAAAATGTAACAAAATATTCACATCTGTACATAGTACCTGGAAAATGTAACAAAAAGATCTTTATCTGTACATAGTACCTGGAAAATGTAACAAAATATTCACATCTGTACATAGTACCTGGAAAATGTAACAAAATATTCACATCTGTACATAGTACCTGGAAAATGTAACAAAATATTCACACCTGTACATGTTACCTGGAAAATGTAACAAAATATTCACATCTGTACATAGTACCTGAGAAATGTTACAAAATATTCACATCTGTACATAGTACCTGGAAAATGTAACAAAATATTCACATCTGTACATAGTACCTGGAAAATGTAACAAAATGATCTTTATTTGTACATAGTACCTGGAAAATGTAACAAAATATTCACATCTGTACAAAGTGCCTGGAAAATGTAACAAAAAGATCTTTTTCTGTTCATAGTACCTTGAAAATGTCACAAAAAAAAACTTTCTGGAAAATGTAACAAAATATTCACATCTGTACATAGTACCTGAGAAATGTTACAAAATATTCACATCTGTTCATAGTACCTGGAAAAGGTAACAAAATATTCACATCTGTACATAGTACCTAGAAAATATAACAAAATATCCACATCTGTACATTATATAAGTGCCTGGAAAATGTAACAAAATGTTCTTTATAAAACAGTGAAATTTCAATAAATATTAACTGAAATCATTTTACCAAACAGGTAAAAACATGAATATCTGTGACAATTCACACAAAGGGGCATCAGTGGCTGTGTGCCTTCAAACCATTTGCTCCTAACCACTGTGTGTTTGAATATGACAGAGACTTTGGATCCTTTCATATGAGGAAGCTATCAAGCTAGCCTGTGGAACATTGGTGGTTCCACTCAGGTGCCAATTTGTGCCTGAAATAATACATGGAAGGGCCTCCAGGGGTCTGCCTCCACCAGTAAAGCTGGAAAATGTTATCAAACAACAATGAATGGCAGTTATAATGGCCAAGTGAATAACATGTCTGACTAGTAATCTAATGATTGCTAGGCGCATGGATTGAATCCCAGTCATGGGCAAGTTGTTGTTTCCATGAGCAAGAAATTTTACATCATGCTACACTGGTGTACAAGACAGATTAAAGTGTCTATAAGTTGTACTTCCTTCACAATCAACAAAAATTCGTTAAACAAGTAGAAAATGGGAGCTCCCTCGAGCAAACTCAAAACAAAGTTTAAAAGTGAAGATTGCAGACTCGGTTTCATAGAGTCCATTCTTGAGTGATAATGGGAAGTGCAACATCCCTCACGATCCCGAGATCACTATAAGCTGAACATGATCCCTGTTTTCCGAAAACAACTATGGCCTTTTTCCCACGTAAATTTGCTGATGCTTACCTAAAGACATAAATATATAGGCAGAAAAAATATATTTATTTAGCTAATAATTAGAATTTTTTGTCTGGCTGAATTGACTTATGGTAAATTCGCCATCTATTAACCATCGTTTCCCTTCATCTGCCACATAAACTAATAAAGGCTATTCTCCTTCCGTTTCCAGGTATTAACCAGTATCAACCAGACAATATAATTTGTTTGCCATGTCATGACACAATATTAGAAAATATGATGAATATTAAAAGTGAATTAACATTTGTTTTTATTTTGCAGTAACAGACAATGAAATTGAGAGATACTGCTGATGCTAAATTACTTCTTAACAGTCATAAAATTTAAAATTGTATCAAAAATTGTTTTGTTCTATTATCTAAGTTTGTTGATGTTATTTTAATGGATTTGTTTACAAGATGTCACGTGTTTTCCTATTCCTTATTGTATTTGCACACTACAACCATAAATTCCATTTCTGGGAATTAAAAAGCAAATAGTTCCTGATTGGTAAGGTATTCCTTAAAAGTGCTCTGTCAGTACTAAGCATTATCCCTCTCCACAATAAATATCATAAATGAACTTATTTTTCAATCTGGACATGACCATTTATCATTTTTAGAGAAAATTATATGAAAATTTATTGACTGAATAGTGAACAATGCAGACTATGATCAGACAGCATGGACGTGCCAGCTGATCTTGGTCTGCACTGGTCACTATGCCCTTCCAGCTGGGTATGGGTTAAAAGTGCACTAAGTAGTCAGCAAGCAATAAATTAAGATTTAAAGATATTTGTTGTTATTTAGGAATATAAAGTAGGCATACTGGCAATCATTTTAGTCTGCATTGTACAAGCAAGAGTGCTGGTTATCAATTTATATTACACAGAAAGCCGGACTGAGAAGAACTGCTGAAACTGCTGCTATTTTGAACTATGAGTAATAACTCTTGGATTTTTAAAATCGCAACTTCAGAGAGTCGAAGATTTGCTGAATGTATATGGCCAGACACAAACATTTATATGAATCAAATCAAATCCTATCAATATTATAACCAGATGCCATTTAAAACAGGGTGACTCAGACTAAATATAGTTAAACTAATAATCTTGTTCACCTTCCCTAATAAATGACTAGTTTTGGCTATATGGTGAACTATTATCAAAATTTAAAGCCTAGACAACATATTGCTCAGTTCAATGCTTTCTGAACGGATTCATTTCAGGTAATTTGTTGTTGTTTTCTTTTCCAGAACTTCAAGGATGTCTGAAAAGTCTAATAAAATCTGAATAAAATAAATCAAGTCTGTTTAAAAGGATTTAAAGCTTGTTAAACTGACTGTAAGCAGAATAACTAGAGCCACTGCCAAGCGGTAGGCCATACTCAACTTGTTCTCATTTCTAAAGTCTTGGAAGACATATAATGTAGTGAAGAATACTCCTAGAAAAGATTATGTTTCTAAAACACTGCACACCCTTTTAAGGAAGACAGGTAATACATTGTTCACCTTTTAAAAGAAACAAGGCTTATCGCATTTATATTACGGATAATATGGGCATAAATAACAACTTTGCAAAGAATCACAAGGTTAAACTATATTCAAAATTTCAAAGATGTGAGCCTTAAGGATTTGGACAAGATTTTTGCTTAAAGATTTTGCTCTTGGTTGCCATGGCAACAGCAATTTTGCATATGATTAACTTTAATAGGAAATCATGCATGGTCATCATTGGTATACTTCATTCAATTTGAAGCAGTACTTTAGAAAAAGATTTTTCCCTGAAAATGGACCACACATGATGCACACTGCAGGACAGACACAGGACGATCACAGCAAGAGGGCCGTCCATATGAAATCTAATTACTTTTCTACATTGAACTCACCTCAGGTGTGTGTTTAGACATTTCCAGGACAGCCAGGATTAGAGAGTAACTGTCCAGATTCTTCTCCTGATATATCTGACACAGTTCAAGGACATACACACTTATCCTGTTACCATGACAATGGTCAAGACTTTCTGCATGGTTACCATAGAGATGAAGAAGTTGAATACAATACTCCGCTGTTTCTACAGTATTGTCTGCAGTGTCAACCTGTAAAATAAGACTTTATTAATGAATGATTTTTTATCTAACATAGAAGCAAAGTGATCTGGATTGATAAATGACAATATCAAACAAAATGTTATACTGAACTATTTTTAGCACCAAAATACATGTAATTAAGAGTAGGAATCTTTAAGGTACTTCATCCTAGTGAAAGATTGGTTTTATTAAGTCTGTCCCTGGATAGTTAGTTTAAACTTATTTTATTCCTCATATTACAAGAACAAATTTTACATGACATTTACTATCAATATAGAGAGACTGGAAGCAACTGAATGCTTATTTAAGTCTTGTCCCAATTCATGGACAGAAAATGCGTTTAATATCACGTAACAGTTCCAAAATGAAAGATGAAAGATAAGATTAAGTTCATTTAGAATCTCATAGGATAAGTATTAAGTTACATAAAGTTGCTAAAAACTGTTAAATTTTCATGAGGTTGTAAGTGGTGTATCAATTGCAAATTCAAACATTTTGAGAAAGTCTTATTGGTGATCCGATGTAGTCATAACACTGTGTACAGTTCACTTCAGCTCAACAATTCCTAAGGAATTTTATGTGCAATAACACAATAATCTGATAAATGTTTTGATTACATTATTTCGCATCAGCAAATTGACCGTCTGCAATTTCCGTGACAGAGAGACAGGAAATTCTGAGGACGTATCACAATAATCGCATCAACCAATGTTGTTATAAGTTTACTTTTGGATTGAAGAAATAAATGCCACAAATAACAATAAAGGTTAGTATGAACAGGAGCGCTTCAAATGTGGGGCAATATATACTCCTTTAGAGAAATAAAAAATACTCTGGAATAAAGAGTAGTTTGGGTTTTTCCAAGCTAATCCAGGGGTACAAACAGACTTATACAGTCACAGCTTGGAAAATTAGCGCAAAATTTTGATTTATCTATTGTGAATGAAGCTACTGCAGTAAAAATTATGTTTGTACCGAGGGATTAGCTTGGAAATCCTCACATTTGTCAAATTCCAGATGACAACTTTATTAGGGTAAAGGTCCATTAATGAAATTTGTTTGAAACATTTTTTTTATATTAATTATCTCTTAACAAGAAAAAGGAAATTGTTACAAAAGTTTTTATTGTAGTAGCACTAATGATTATTAAGTAATTATTTGAATCTAAATTTCTTTTGTTGCAAAATCTTGAAATAACGGTGCATAACATTGGCAACAGGTAAAGACTAAATCCAGCATGAATGTACTAAAAATATTGTTATCATCATCCAATTCAATTTCAAAGATGGAATAACAATTGCTGGAACATATCATCTCCTTCATTAGTATTTTTTATAAAGTTTAGTCTGGCATTAATAAGTTTATATTAATAAAGCATGTACTTAATTATTATTTTCTTCCATGAATTATGTTACATCGGTTTTTATATTTTGGAACGCAAATAATAACATGTTATCAAGGGAAATGAAACAGTTAATGGATTAACGTGCAGAAAATAATTTAACATATGAAAAACATGATTTTCAATAATTTCCAGACATTATTAATTATCTTCCTTATACTTAAATCTTCACTCCAATAGTTACAGTAAAACCTGTCTTACAGAACACATTTCTTCCTGACATTTCAACACTCTCATCATGAGATCTTTTAAAATTAACAATTTTATTAATTAAAAGCAGAACATATTGCAAGTTGCAAGTGTCATGTTCACTTTGTTTGAGGTGTAAAGGGGTGGGTTGACACTTAAAGCCACCTTCAGCTTTTATTTTCTGTTGGAAAAATAATTCTGTGTTGTTTCAAACTAAGTATTTCAGTAATTTTATCTTGGAAAAGTGAATCATATCACTGTTAAGCCTTCTTCAAAACAGTGTCCCAAAATCTATTTATAGCGCATCATGACATTTGTTTCTAAAAATAGAAGATCTGGAAACAAATCGTTAATTGGCTTGACTTGTTTAAATTTAGAGAGCAGACCAGTAGAACAGAGGTATCAAGGCGCTTCCTTCTTGTTTCGTATGCTATCATCCGCAAATTGCATTTTCCACCTTGATTATTTTGATTTGACAATTATATGAAACGATTTATCTAAAAATAACATATTCAACCTTTAGAAAAGCTGAAGGTGCCTTTCATTACACCATTTCTTGTTGTACTAGCTTGATTCAAACCAAAAACAGTAATGTCAGAATAAGTATTTAAGATAGCATGCAGTCCAATCAATTTTATTTAACTAATCATTACAGAAACCAGTCACTTTTCATCACGAACCCGTCAATTTTTCTTTCCCTTTTCTGAGTCATGTGATTGAAACTGAGCTAGTGTACCATAAAACCAAATAAACAAACAAAATCTATCAATTGAAAGTTTGATGAGTCCATGCAATAGTGTATCAGAATACATGTATAATAAATAAAATAACACTCTTTGGTGACTGAAGCTTTTGTAAAGAAAACCCTATCCAATTTCTACTTTGTCAAAGTAAAGAAAAATCTTACAAAAAAACTTTGAAAGAAAATGACAAAAGATTTGCATAAGGATAGGATATAAATCCATCAAAGTGACAGAAATATTCAGAAGAGTATCAATCTAAACTTTGTTCATAACATATATCAAATGGCCATTGTTGTCTTTCTGAATAAAATAATTTGACAAGTATATGACATTATATCTTCAGATAATAGAACTTTCTGGTGAAAGCTGCAATTTATTACATTGCCCCGAGAGGCTTTCATATTCATCCTTCAGTGACTTTTCTTAGTTATTGAAAAAGAAGTCATTTCACAGGCAAATGCATTCTGAATTATTGCGTATTAATATGAAAATAAATCTATCCGCGACTAATTTTATTGCCTTCATTACATACATCTATCATTATATGTAACAAATTTGATTGAAAGTATGACAACTGAATGAAAATTGTGCCTATATCGGAGCAAGTTTTTTGTCATGCTTATCATGTGCACTACTTTTCAGCATGGAAGGTCCAGATGTGCTCCCGAGACAGTGTATTGGAGACAGTGTTTTGTCTCATCTTGACCTTTACTACATTTATCAACAAATTACCCATACATCTTAAGACAGTCTCTCAAGGGGCATTAACAATCTTACCAAATATTCATGATTTATAACAGATTTCCATCAATCTACAGCAGTCTGAAGATTGTGACATTAGTTCCCCTTAAATAATCTCGACTTTTTGAAGAAATAGGGCGCCTATTTTGCTTTTGCATTTAAAATTGTCCATTGTAGCATGAATATCAAGCCAGCCTTGTCAGATATTTTGCATGTGCAGACATGTCTGCAGTTTCAAGTCTATGATGATTGGGAAAGTCATATTGCTATGCTGGTGTCTTTTATTTCTGACCTTTGTCTTTCTCAAAGTGACCTTGACCTTGGTCACAAGGGTGTGAACTTTGTATGCAACGCTCATGCTCATACTGATGAACGTTTGTTTAAAGTTATGTTAAATCTCTTTATGCATGTAGATGTTTTGCCACAGACAAGCATTATACTCTGACCTCTAATTGCTGCTTTAACTTCAGATAAGCATATGCAAGTAATCCAAGTTTTAAAATTGTTTAAGTAATTGAAGATTTGTGAATGTGTCATTAAAATTACTCAATGTAAGTTTAACTTAAACTCATGGACCTACTGCAGATTATTTGCAGTATCTGTACTGTTAACTGATTTACAAGGCAAAAATGCTAATATTCTGTGTAATAAAGAAATTATTTTTATTTTCATCCAATAATAAGAATTTCTGGTGACTGCAGGTAACAATTTGCTTCAATGCCTGGAACAAAATTATATTTTTCCTTCGTTGGAGTATTCTCAAAGAAAAGTTAAGTAATTTTACTGATCACTAGTTTCCCTTAAATTACTTTTTTATGTTCCACTTAAATGATACATATATTGCACAAGACTAAAGATAATTGTCTTAAATAGAGAAAACTGTTTGCTTTATTTGTTTAGATGTCTTTCACCATTACCTTGATGAAACCACCCAAAAAATGATGAGCTATTCAAAATTCACAATGTAAAGAAGCTTTTGATTCAATAAAAATTGCATAATCACTAGGAAGGTAGCACTTTTAGGAGGTCACAATTAAATTAAGCAGCCATTATAAAAGTGCAAATTCAATTGTCAAAACTTTGTTAACATTCTGCTCATTAATAATACCACCACAGAAAGTCACAGATAAAATATCTGGTAATCATACTGTCAGCAAGAAATAAACATTTTCTATTTCTAAGATTAAAATATTTTTAAAACTGAAAATCCATATTTAAGATCTAAACTAGCACCTTTATGCACGTCACATTATAATTATACTATTACGGGAAAATACCGGGATTATACATGAAACTGTTAAGTTTATCATCACAATATGACGCATGTTAACAATGTCAGTCACACAAGAAACAGTTGTATCATAGTTTGGAGACCTTTCTGTTGAAAATATGTCAGGGTTAAATCGTATACATATACAAAATGTACATGCACAGTGCGTTAACTGGAGTGCGGGTATTAGTTACCCGCACTCCAGAGCATGCTCATTGATTGGCTCATTTTTGCTGGGGTTTACATATTGTGATGGCAGAGAAAGGGAAAGCGACATAAATATCATATTCAGATGTTCGTTCATTGGTTCATTTTTGCCGGGGTTTCATATTGTAAAAACAGGGAACGTGTTTTTATGTTTGACCATGATACAAAAGAGAAAGAACACCAAAACACTCGGTAATCTGATTAATACTCGGGGGCTACGCCCCCTCGTACAAATCAGATAACCTCGTGTTTCGGTGCTCTTTCTATTACTTGTAACTTGAAATGATCACACTTTCTCATTTGTCTACATCTTGAGCAGTAAAAGTGTATGGGTAGTCTACGCTTAATCAACTTTTCAGGCACTGAGAATACAGACCCAAGTAAAAGTCACAGGAACTTGAAATTCTATCAATATTAATGATAATATCCAAAATATACCCCCTATACAGTATAAATA